TGTACTTCATCCACTACGTCATCAGAAGTTGTTGATGTTGAAAGGTAAATCAGATGGCATCTGAAGTCACCGACCTCAACGACAACGCACAGTTACAAAAAACTGGAAAACGAACAGATAAAGTGTGTTGCAATGGACTATCGAAGAAAAATTTTCAAGAAAAATCTCAATTCTTCCCTCACTGTATGACGTCATTGAAGGAGAGAGGGAGAGGTAACAAAAATAAGGCTCGGAAGAGTTAAAGAGAAGAAAAAAAAAAGAGGGAAAAGCCATATTTTCCTAAGTTGAAAGATGAAAAAGCAACTGTTGTCATTAAGCTAAAGCTTATCCCTCACATCCTCTTAGCCTCTCTTACTCTCTGACTTTCTCTTTCTCCTTCTCTCTCCCTCTCTCTCTATTTCTCTCTCTCTTTATGTCGCTCTATTCTTTTCACGAAAAGCTCATGTTTATCAACAAGTAAAATGATGTGGAACGTCATCCATAAGGATTCTGAAAATGATGAGAATTGATGGTTAAACCTTCCATTTCCTTGAAAAAAATTTTTCTCAAAGAAAACAAATAACAAATGATACGGTAATTAAGAAAATTTTGTTTTTCTATTCGTCATGGTTTCATGGACATGCCCTTAGGCAGTATAGATTTTGAAAAAGTTTAATTACTTATCAAACCGGTTACAATAGAGCGGAGAGGGGGGGGGACAGAACAGAGGGGATGGATGATGATGGACTGAAAAAATGGAGACCAAGGAAATAAAGAAAATACAAAGATACTCTCTCTCTCTCTCTACAATACCCCTTCCCTATACCCTCTACTCTTCATAAATACCTTTTTTTTAAAAATTTCATCTCAGAAACTTTTCTGTTTCTAATTCTATTTTTGCTTCATAAAATAGAAATGAATCAAGATTAGTTAGGGCTGATGCTTCTCATTTGGGAATGTTCACCGGAACCGGCTTAAACTTCTTCTGTTTCGGCCTTCTTATTTCCGCAGCTAACAAAGTTCTGCTTTCAGCAACAACAACGACTCTTCTGATCATCACAACTTTTGGTTATCACAAAAGACAAGTTCATATGAGTAAGTTTCGAAAGCAAAAGCGCTATGACGATGTCAAACATTCAATCTTTCATAATATTATTTCAAATTAAATTAAACAAATCATGGTGTTGTGTTCACAATCTGGACGATTGACGTCTCTCTCTCTCTCTCTCTTGAATCGTTTTGTTTGACAATCAGAACCATATTTTAATGAACAGACGATGAATGACGCAACTGTTAGCTTCAGAAGCGTGATCTGAAGATCCTTGGAAGACATAGCGATAGAGAAGAGTGTCTTACGAGTGTCATGAGAAAGAGAATGAAGGTGAGTACAAATAAGGAAGTTCTCATGTATTTGAAATGATCTTTTTTTCAAGCGAAGATGAAAAAATGAGATTAAGGTTGTCGCTTAAATTGAAGAAAAAATGAATTTTTCCTTCTGTGAAGCTCTCTCTCTCTCTCTCTTGCTCCCTCTCTCTCTCTCTGTGTATTCATAAATATTTCTCTCTCTTTCTTCTTCTACCACTATAAACTAAGGAAACGAAAACCTTTGAGAGCGTTTGGAAGGGAAAAGCTGGTGAAAACGAATGAATGACGAAAACTTGTCTGTTATATATATATAACAAATATTTTATTTTGATTACAATAGCAACCGTTCTACAGGTGGTAGAGAAATGAAAAAAATCTATTTTTGCCGGTTTTTCACGTGAATAGATATGTCACGTGTAGAATACGTGATTGAGGAAAAAACGTGACGTGAGACATAGTAACCATGCAAAGAGAATCAGAGAAAATGGATGAGTAACTGGTAAAGGTCTGATTAGAATGAGAGATAAGCTGGAAATTCAACAAATTGTTGGCAAAGAGGGTGTGTGATTGGGAAATGATGATGTAAGCGTTTACTTACAATAGAAACAATGATAATAGTATGAGGTAAAGAGGAAATAATGAAAATGACGGGGGTTTGTTGAAATCCAAAGGTTTAACGGATTGGAAAGGGGGGGGGGAAGAGATACTAACATGCTTTTGCATGGTATAGTTAAGATGTAATAACATATAAGAAGATTTGAATAGAATCAAGAATTATAATAATAGAATGACAAAAGAAGAAGAAGTCAGAAGACTGATGAGAAAATGAATCGTTTACAAGGAATGAGAAGGAGAGAGAGAGAGAGAAAGAGGACGACGCACAGAAAGAGAGAGAGAACTGTTTTGAATCAGAAAGAAGAAGCAATGAAAGAAAAGTTAGATAAAATCTTTTTTTTCAGCGCCGATGAAGGAAGAAAGGCAAAATGATTGAGAACATGCTATGTAGTGCCTCGGGGCATCTGCACTCAACAACGTGTTGTGTCGCCGTTTAAAACATGCCACAGATGGATATTAGCCTCAATGTAGGCATCATTAAGCAATCAAGTTTGAATATAATTAATGAAAACAGGACAAACGTACAGAAATCTGCGTGAACAAGAGGCGACGATGATTGAAAAAAAAAATGAAAAAAGACGCGTCGCGTAAAGCTCAATCGTCTTCTGAAGGCCCTGTGAAAGAGCTTTTGTATGAAAAAAGATAGAAAAGACACAAGTATTGAGAGAATATCTGGTTTTGATGAAGAAGTAGCCATCGTTTGTCGTTTTGACTTCAATATAAACAGAAATTGTAATTTCAATTTTTCAAAAAAAGGAAAAGCTTAGACTCCATTTCTTGTCTCAGACAGGAACAGAGAACAGTTTCTCGAACTCGCGTGCATATAATCTTCTAAGTCACCTTTTTTCTTCTTTTTTTTTAGGATATTTCTTCTCTCTATCTTTACAAGCCACTCTCTCACCTCCCATCTTTTGCACTCTCTCTCTCTCTCTTCATCTGTTTTGCTTTGCTTTCCTCGTTCTCAGAAAAAAAATGAATGAAGAATAGAAAACTCAACGACCACTATGCTTCCTATCCGGAATTTCTGTCAATTCGACGCCGTCGTCGGCTTTCTCGTTATTGTCCAGGACTGTCTTGGGACGTACGTGAAACCGGAAGACAGACCGGAAATGTCGGAAAACAAAATGGGAAAGATGGGAAAAAAGAACAAACTTCTACATAAATCAAAATGTAAGTAAGTGTAGGTGAATGTCAAGTAAACGGAACTGACAGTCACTTGATCTAACAGGGGGTAAAGCTGAATTGGGGGTAGTAGGACGAGATGAGATGATGTATAAACCTCAAAGCTTCAGCTTCATTTGAGATCACTTGCACTATACTAATAGAATTGGTTTCAAAAATGAGAATATGAGGAAGAAAACAAAATTTATAACTAAAAAAAGCATTATTAAAAAAAAAGTTTTTGAAGACAGGCAATAATCCTCTGTTTAATCGGGCCCCAGTAGAAGGAAATGTGACGTCATTATTTGCTTTGATTGAAGCTGGAGCAGGTTTGTTTCTCTTATTGTAAATAAAGATTTTCTACAATTTGAAGACGTTAATGCTGTGGGTCACGCTGTTTGGCACATTGAATGTGATGAAGAAAAGTGGAAATGATGACGACGATTATCCTTCAAGTGATCATCATCATTATGATCTTCAACTATCTACATCATCTCTTAGAGAGAGAGAGATGGATGGATAGAGAGAGAAGAGAAAATAGATAAGAGAGAGAGAGAGAGAGAGGGGATGCCTGTATACATTTGACGTTGGAGAACTGGAACTTTGCCTCAGGCTATCGGGACAGAAAGAGAAACGTTAAAAGTACAGAAACGCCTTAGGGCATATGAGTTGACGGAAAGAGCGCATCAACCACTGCCATCTCTCGCCCCTTTTCCAATTCATTCGTTTATTTGGGTTGGAAAAAGGCATAAAGAAATCATGAGACGAAAGACAAGAAATAATGTTAAGAAAGAATAATAAAAGGTTTTATGGAAGTTGGGTTGGTTCAGGCTCAACATCAACAGCTTCATCATTAAAACGAATTAAATTGAACCGGAATGGGAAAGCTTTGAAAATAAGGAGTTAAGGAAGAAGAAAATATTTGTTTATTTGTCTTAATTGAGAAAGAAAAAAAAAGAAGGGCGAATTTAATGATACGGGGAGATATAAACAGTTGAAAAGCCTTCTTCCTTCTTCTCCTTCAATTGGCTTTTAAAAATTATTTGAAAGATGCATGAGAGAGTGAAGGCTGATGATTAGAGATTAAGGAGCTGCCATGAAACAAATAGAGATTAAAAGAGAAAAATGAAGTGGAGATATATGAAGTTGCATGCTATGAAATACAGGGAGAGGTGAGGTGAGAGAGAGAAAGAAAGAAAGTGAGTGAGAGAGAAGCTTTCGTTGTCGATACTCTTCAGCCACCTCTCGGGATTAAATGAATATGAAAAAACGCTTTTCAACGGGAAAATCTCTTAATTATGCTGATTATAGGATATTATAATAAAGAGAAAAGTTTATGACGTCATTAGTCTTTGGTAAGATCAGTCGTATAGTCTAATTGAGAGAGCGAGATAGAGATACAGAATAGAGATTTCAGATAATTTCAACGAGAAATGATTTTCATTCATCCAATGCACGTGTCATCACATGAGTTTCACGTAAAAATTAGAATATGCGTGACGTCAGTCGACCAAAGTATCGAACTATTTCATTATTTTTTTCTAACGCCAAACATCAGAACGGTTGTTTTTCCACATTAACTATATGGTATAGTATATCGGTGGACATTCTTCTTCTTTTTTTTTTTTTCATTAAGTTTCTACAATCAAAAAAAAAGTAATTTTTTGGATTTCAAATTGGAAATGCATTTAATGAATGCGTAATCGAATGTCTGTAGTATGATGTGTAAACATGATAGCTGGTGAAGGGGTTGATTGGAAAAAGTCACAAAAAAACAGATTTTTTTTCTTTTTTTTTTTCAAATTCAAGTCAAAATGACAATTGATACATAGTAACATGCATATATCATATAGTTAGGTAATTTTATTAAATTATAAATATTATGCTAATCGTTTACGTACGACAGAAGATAATTGCTTGAAAACATAGCAGGTAACGTCTCCTACTGTTTGTTGACAGAATGATTCTGTGTTTGTGACATATGAAAAATCGCCACGAGCACAAATAACATTGTATCTTAATATATATTCATTTACAAACTGATTATTGATTGATTTGGAAACCTTCCTTGTAGCTGCGATTCAGCTTCTTCCTGTATTCGCTTTTTGGCCACTGACGTCACTCTATCAATGTTCTATAACTTTATCATTTAAATCTTGTCTGGCTTCTGATGATTCACTTGAATTATGATTTCACGTAAGCTCTCGCTATTACATTTTGCATCCACATGAACAACCTCATCAAGAACATCTCGTTTACGTATTTTCTTGAAATTCTCATCGAGGATATATGTACCATTGCTCAAGAATTCAATCGTATCTCGCTTGTTACGTTTTCGTTTTTGACAAGGACACGTGGAACAACATGAAATCTGAAAAATTGCTTCCGATGAGTAAGTTTTCCAAATTTGCATAAATTTGCATACTATTTGCGGTTGAACTTGCTGAGGACAGCGAGCTACAGGAGGGCAAGATGGCATAGGGCAACTACAAGAAGAGGCACAACAACTGCTTGATGAAGAGGGGAAGAGAAAGCCATTTGCACTGAATGGCAATATAGCTGATATAACGATGAACGTAGCAGTAAAAATATTTTTTATTGATGACATTTTTGTTCTGAAAATATAACATGAAAAGAACAAATGATAACAGAAACGCATGGGAAATACAAGTGAAATAGAAGCGCGTTGATATGTGCACGGATGGCCGAGCGGTCTAAGGCGCCAGACTCAAGACTAGTCTTACTGCGAGATAGCAGTGGAGTGTTCTGGTCCTCGAATGAGGGCGTGGGTTCAAATCCCACTCCGTGCAGTACTTTTTTTATTTTTTAAAATATTGAAAAAATGTAAAATATATGAGCAAGACATGTTAGAACTTTAAAATATGTGAATTTAAGGATCATTTCCCAATGGATTTGAAGAAAGGAAGAATTGAGGGTAATCTCAATGAGGATTAACGTCTGAAGCCGAACGGATTAACCAAAATCGGAAAGTGAGACAGCGTTCTGGTCTTCTTCAACTTGGTATATTTCTGAAATCCTGTTCCGGAACTGTAAGCTCCTTTCCTCTTTTTGAAATTTAGAATAACGATAAGCACACTGAACTTGTACAAACCAGCTTTATTCGATTTTTTTGTTGTTAATTTTCAATTTCAATAGAAATCACGTGAACTGAACGATCATGATCTTATATGCATATAATTAATATAATTTACATGAATAATTTTGTTTCATAATTAATCAAGTACATTACCGTACTTGCTATCTATTCGCTTTGAGACATTTATAATCGACAATTTTCTTCTTCATCGTTTTCCATGACTGAAAGAAATATTTTGAGATGAGGGTCAGTGAGAACAAAAACTAATTTTTTCTTACCATATTCTTGTTTACCATATTTGGCACCATAAGGCAGAGTTGATTGTGATTGATATTGAACCTGATGATTAGGTGATAATGGAGGTAATTCTGAAATAAATGTTTTCATATTGTTATAAGAAGGGTAGGAATCTATACCATAACTATCTATTCCATAGGGAGCGGAATTACGTTGAGGTCGTTGAAGAGTTGAAGGAACAAGACGAGGGATCACTTTATTATCTGAGTAATAAAACGGATAGAACCTGTAGCTAAGAAACTTGAATACCTAATCGTGGTGGATGGGTATTGGTAGAATGAACGATGCGTGGTGTGGTATACGTTTCATGAGCTGAAAATGCGAAATAAGGATTTTTCTTATGATCTAAGATGAACCAAATTTCTCGACGGGATGAATGTTGGCTGGTAATGTATGCACATGATGGTAGTTCCTTTGTAAAGACATAGCCTGTTGACTTCGCGGTGATAAAACAAGATTATCGAGCCAATAAGGATTCTTAAGTTGTTTGATCTCATGAACAGGAAGTTTGCAGAAGTTAAAAACCTTTTCGGATCGATCTAAAGTACTCTTTCCAACAAGAGATTTGTTGTCATCGTCATCTTTGCTAAATGCCCCACGACAATATGTTATCATGATAATGATTAAAGAATACACAAGTGATGCTAAAAGTTTAAGATCAAAGAAAGGACAAGAACTAAAATAGTTACCTCCAGCTATTACTTGGTCTCGTAGAGTATATGGTAACAATGGTAATCCTAGATACAAACCTAAACCGAATATTCCACCAATTATCTGAAAGATGGGAATGATTACTTTACTCTAATCTCTATTCGCTTACAGCGATCAGAATGTTCTGACGACTTTCAATGTGCCGAACAGAAAGAATGGAGCAGACCAAAGTTATAATTATCATCAGTCCACTTAAAGAGCATGAGTGTAACAAACGTTGTTCGAACTAAAAGTGGAAGATGTTATCGAAGTATGACGTGCTTTTCCAGAACACACGTGAGTTCTGTTTGAACTCATGATTATTTTCTTTTTTGCATGTATGCGCAGGGACCGTTTGTTTCTTCAAGTAAAATGAAATGCCTACTTGATCGCCTGGGGCACATCGCCATTGATGTCCGTGTTGTACGGAAGAAGTAAACGTCACTTCCGTTGGAGATTCAAACAATGACCATTCAGATGATATAACTGTTATAATCACATGAATATTTCGAAAAGGTTGAATCAAATACCGGCTTGGATTGTGACAATAGCGATTACGATCCAGAAAAGAGTGTGTTGATTCGGTCTTTGGGTTTGAATTGGATTTTGACTTTGCTCAAAGCTTAATTCTAATTTCCATACAGCCAATGTCTTAAAAAGTTAAAAAATGAGAATCTAAAGAGAGAGAGAGAGAGAGAGAGAGGACTTACTTTCACTAACACTGGAGCGAAAACGCAGGCCATTGAAATGGAAAAAGCTATTCTTCTACAAATGCAACTAATAGCGTTTGGCTTCATTACAAAGAATACTGATACTAAGCATAATAATGATAATCCTATAAGTGTTTGAAATGATTGGAGGCAGAAGCCTAATGAACTGACCAGCAAATAGAAGTACTGTACAAATACTATAATTATCATCACGTGAACAAACTATTTGATGATACATACATAACATACAAATGAAGAATGCCAATACTGTAAGAGTTTCAAATTGAGTTGAGATGATCAAAGAGATCATTGGTACCTGCTCCAATTGTATAAATGAGTAGATACGTATTACTTAATGAGTCATTGAATGATGGTTTGAAACCTGATTGACTACGTTTAGCTAACTCAGAAGCACAACTAGATCTGAAAGAAGATTATTGTACACGTTATAACTATACTATGTACGTACTTTGGACAAGAACTTCTTAAGGGAACTCTTGTACCATCTCTCTCTTCCATGACGAGATCCAAAGGAGATGTATAAGTAAATCCGCTAACCTACAACGGTGGAATAGTACATTAGATGTCTTGGATATCTAATTCATACCGTATCCCAACGGGCTAATTCCTCAACTTCTATCTGAGAATCATAGACCACTCGGTTAACAACAATTGGAGAATCACGATATCCAGATGTTTCATTGAAAGTAACGTCTTCAGAAAATATAATTGTTATGAAAGTTAAATCATCTGGTTCTACCTCCATTCACCATTGGATTCGGGAATCTCAAAGCCATGATAGAACTGAATAACGATTCTTGAGGATCATTAAGACAATCATGTAGACTTTGAACCAAAGCTCCTTAAAATAGCTTGTTCGTAATCATCTAGAAGAATAATGCTTTACCAGGGCAAACATTATCTACAAGTTTCCGTGTAGCGTGAGCAATGCTATGGACAGCCAATGTTATTGGAGCTATGTCGATATCTGGAGCTACAGACGTCAAGTTCAAAAGTTGTTTATCAGAGCATTCTCTGAAGCAAGTGTTTGATAAATTTATATCAACTATTCTCTACTTGGAAAATTGTTGACCGGACTCATTCTCTCCTTCAATATGACAGTGGAAAGCTGTAGACCAAAACTGTCTCATCCAATGCTGAGGGAACGCAAAAGATGGGAAACGAGAATTGAGATGTTGGAGTTCCAATGTTTGCTTTGGCTTTTTATTGGAAACCTCAAAATAAGAGGAATGTAATGTAAGAAAAGGAGAATAGAAGAAGCTTACAGTAAGCAGAAGCTGATCAAAATGTGGCCACATTTCCAGAAAGTTTTGAGATGTAAACCAACGAGGATGTTGTACGGTAATCATGATAAACCTGCCGGCAATCACCTTCAAACGTTATGTATATTATAACCAATCAGTCTGTTCATCATCATACCATTTCTGTACGCAGAGCTTTCATGAGCTGAACCCATGATCCTTCTCCCAGTAGTACAACAACGACACGAGCTTCAGTTAATAATAATCTAAAAAATTTTCTCATATCTTAAATATTCTCAGCCCAAGAAACGGCACCTTCTAACAGCGCTTTCAGCCATTGTCAATGAATCTCCTTTTAGACTCAGCTTCTGTTCGATGCAAACCCCTCGTGCAAAAGCCATATCACCCATCAGTTTGGCAGATCTTAATTAATAATTGAACGATGTCATTATTATGATTGTCTTACTCCTCATATAAGTCATCATAGATCAAACTCACACAGTCACTTTGTGTATGAGTCAGCAGACTGATCATTGTTTCCAATGGACTTACTATAGACGGCAATGTTCCAGTTGCCATGAACTGAGAGAAAGTATAAACAATCTCTCATCTTTCTACAAATTATATGTTTACCTGTTCTCGGGTAGAGAAAAATGTGTTGATGACAGGAATTTTCAAATGTCTTGCAAAATCATCCACATTCGGCAAATATGAGCCATCGTCTCTGATCATTGCAATCAAATCAGATCTGTTTTGGAATGTTATTACATTTTAAACAGTTTTTTATACTTTTGAATGTTTGTCCCTGATAATAGTTCATACAAATCTGCAACAGTTCGTAAATCAGATGAACAAGAATCAACGATGACAGCTCCTAGACCAAGTCCTGCATCTCGTAGTATTGGTTGAGAATTAACCTTAAGCCCTAAGGGTGAATTAAGAAGCATTTTCTAATTGTCACCTGTTCAAGGGCATCCATGAATGCCGCCAAACGAATGAAACCATTGACATCAACTTTGCCACATTCGAAACCCTAATCAATTGATTGTTTCATTAGTTGCAGATGATATTCACCTTGTTGTCATGAGACTCATGAATGGGCAATAAAGCCAAAACATATAACCGTCGTGTAGATGGTAAAACAAGAATGTCGTTTAACAGGCGATGACTGGGTACAAGAACTTGAGCTGCAGTTGTTGAGTTCTTGTCTTCTTTTTTCAAAGGTCTGAAGAACTAATGTTTCAAACAATCGCTTCTGCGCACAACCGCTCATTAACATGAATGGTTCAAAAATGAAATTCATTACCGTGCCATGTACGCGAAACGTATTTCGTTAAGCGTGCACGGTGTTAAGGCACGATGTTAAGTAACACAACGAACTTCGAAGCAAAAATAATTACCTGGATAGTTTACTCATTTTCGCAACAAGTTTCGTTGTTGGTTTTTTGGTTGTCCAAATAACAGGAGGAGGTGTAGCTTCAGTTGCTGTAGTTGTTTCATAAGGAGCTGATGTTCGCTGAATATATGAATGCTTTTATAAGTTGTTGTCTATGTGAAAGTTACATATGAGCTGCTAGACCATGTAGCATACTGATTCGTTTCGGGATTTGTATTCCAATTCGTTTGGCTTGCTGGTTGTGCGAACTGAAAAATCGTTCATCGTTTTACTCCTTTATGATGTTATTAGTGTCTGATTATGAGGGTGAAATGTACAATTTATTCCAAAAATTAGAGAACGTGACCTGAGTTAATTTTTTTTTGTCCTAAAAAAAGGTCGTAAGTCTTGGTGTTAAACATTCGTTATTTTGTGTTTTCTTTTGTCTTTCAGCCGCTATTCAAATAAGGTAGCAAATGAAATTCATTAAGAAGAAATAATGTTTGTTAAAGACGTAGTCTCTGTAAACAAAAAAAAAGGAGACTGAGAAACCAAAACTGTCGAATGGTCATGCTTTGAAATTAAGGTAAAGATGATGATGAATGGAATTTGAATGGTTTATAATAATATATATTTTCTTTGTTTTCTTGAATTAGTTGATAATGATAATACCTGTGATGGAGATGATGGTATAGCACCTGGTTGTTGGTTTGATTCTGAAGATGCTGGAAGAATACCAGAAAGGGGGAATGATGGTTGATTAGCTGCTACAGAAAGAGCTGCTGAGGTTAGTTTATTGTATAGATTAGCATAATCAACAGATTCTGATGATTTTTGAGCTTCTGTAGATCCAAAATACTGATTAGAATTACTATAGGTTTGTGGAGCTGTCGGTAAGGGTTGAGAGACAACAGGTTGACCAGCATTTGGTGCAAATTGCTTATAAGGATTGCTGACTTGCTGTAAAGTTTGTTGAAGAATTATAGGTTGCTGGGAGTATATGTCAGTATTTTTGTAGGCCTGTGATCGAAAATCCAATGTGAGAGCTATTGGAATGAATAGCAAGAAGCCCCAAATCATTTGACAGCTGAAAGAATGAGAAATGATATTCATAACATCTTCTATGTAATACGAAAGGCTCTAATGAGAAGGCTTGTAACATCTACGAGAACAGATGATAAAGTAACTTTTAAGAAAATAATTGTTTAAGCTTTAGAATAACTGAGGAACGAGGAAAGCAAGGAACGAAAGTCAAAATAAACGAAAATGAAAAATAGTACAAGGTGTCTGTGAATGATGGAAGTTGTCCCGCCGTCCCTAACGGATTATAGTTATTCGACTTAGACTTGGTTGTTGTTGTTCATCTTCTAGACAATCTATCTGATCGTCAGAAGAAAGCTTCTTCTTGTCGCTTCAGGGCCTAAATGATTTGAGCGGCTTCAAAGGTAAATACGCTTTTACTATAGAAGAAAATGAGAATATTGAACTCAAAAAGAGCAATCGGAGATGGACGCGAAATCGAGAGAGCAACTGCGTCTGAAAGCTACAGGTCTAGTTTTCTAAACAACGAAAGTTGACAGATCGTTCCTTAGCTAAACGTTTTCACTGACCCAAGTCTTCAGGATGAACCACGTAAGTTTTTGCTCTCTCCTCCAATTACCCTTCATTCTCTCTTTCTTTTTTTTTTGTTTTGAGGAATGAGAAGAAGGCTCAGAAATACAAGAATGTCTTCGGAATCATTTGAATCTTAGGAATTCAATTATCAAACTTCCAACTATATGAACGAAGAATGGTGAAGTCATGGGAAGAGCAGAAATCAAAATTGGATTCTCACTTTGCGTTCACCTTATGTTCTTCTTCGGATTATTATAATGCGACGGTCATCGTGAAGAAAACCTCACTCCCTTCTTCTGTAAATATGAAGGTTAAACGCGTGAATGTTGCCAGATCGTTAAACCTTCTTTTCATGTTACAGAAGCATAAGCTCTGCTTCATTCAACCTTTCCAATGATTTAGAAGAAAAATATTTTTTCTTTGAAATACGAGAAGAGAGAAAATGAACAAAAAACTAAGAAACAACTATCTACTTGTACTACTATGGAAAGAATCGTCGGCCGCTTTCTTTCTCATGCTCTTGCTCTTTGAACTTGAATTCTGAAAATGAAAATAAAGTTTTCTTGATCTCACAGCAGTTACCGATGTCAAATTTTGGAACATATCATGAGTATTGGCGAAGCTTGCTATTATTCCTGATTGGCTCAATTCCTCTGGACTATACGATGTAGCATAAGCTAATTCTGATGAGGTTGATGCAGATGATTTCACAGAGCCATTGATTGGGGTCGACCGCTAAAATAACAAGATAAGAATTGAATAGTAAGATTGAATACTTTCGGAAACGTTTTTCCACGTGAACTTTGCGTTACATGATCCAATGCGTTATTGAACGTTGTATCTGCGGATGAGCTGTAGTAATGACCGTGGTCAATAGATCGTTGATGTATTGAGGACAGCATGCTGATTCCTGCCTGCAGTCTTTCGTCATTTCTGTAACATAAAGCATGTATATCCTTCCAGGCTTATTTGACTCTCACTGTTCATTTTCCAAAAAGAGTTGGTTGGTTCTAAAGAAAAGGTGTATAAGCCAAAGCATGTTTGTTATACCTTGCTGCTTGGGATGGACTAACGGTAGAAGTTTGGGTTCTAGCTTCCACATCCGCTCTGTTATCTTGAAACTCACCAAAAGCTTGTGTTTGTTGCTTTCCTTGTATTAAGTCATTCTCAGTTTGTTTTGTTGAACTGAAACTTCAGAAGTTATTTAAATAGAATATTCCTAGACACACTTATTAAAATTGTTCTTTTTCTCTTGAGTTCTGGGACTGGGACGTATGGTTATGGTAGTTGAATGAGCGGTCGTCTTCTTTTTGTCGTTCAAGAACTTGGCAACAATAAATCCGATCGATCCGAAAATCATGAAGAACACAAGCACTGGTATAATTACTGAGGTTGGAGAAGTGACTCGTTGCTTATCTATTAATATAATTGAATGGAAAGGCTTAAAGAAAATTTTACATGAAGGTAATGCTGCGGGTGCTACGGAGTTGTGAACGAATGTAACAGTAGGAGGAGGAGAATAGTAAGTGATACTATAATCATGAGTGATAATTACGATTTTGAATGATCTAGCTTACTTTTTCTTGAACCAGTCGCTGTGAACGATTGAACCATGATAGGTTATATTTGTTTTCAAGTAAGAATTGAAAATCGAGACATTTTTGATGCGAACGATGTTGGCCTTCTTGTTTTCATCTTTGATTGAGCTTTCATCAGGATGGAAATGATTTTGATCTCACCAAGTTCAAATAGTATGTTCTCTCCAACTAAATGAATCAAGTCCTTATCCAAGGCTTCTGGGTAAATCTCTTTGTAGGAAATCTCAACAGCTATCGCCAAAGCTTAAGAATAGATTGGATAATAAGTGGAACGATGATAAGTTGAAACATACGTGGGATCAAGCTTAAGTTATCTGTGATTTCAAATAAATTGAGATTTTCAATATTAATTTCATGCCCTGTGTCAATCAACAAAACCTAGATGATCGTGTAACAGCTTAATGAGGAAGAACAGAAGTATCAAGCTTACTTGTGATTTGGATTTTGAAATGGTTTTTAAAATTCTCACTCGAGTGAAAGTATGTACAAGTCTCAATAAGGCTAAATCCCCTGCAAACTCTCTTTTCCTGATATATTCAGCATGCGGACAGTCTACCTGCTTTAATGTTCGCCAAAGGCTTCTTAACTTCATTGCTTGCAATGGTATTCATCTTTGTAACATAATCATAGTTTTCGGTGACAAAAATATGTTTCATATCTAATTAGAAGTTCTTGCGTGTGCGTCAGAACGTATTTACCTTTGAGATGAGTTATGTACCCGCTGAACAGACCATCTTGAGTGTATTTAAGAGAGAGCAATGGTTTTTTGCTCTCGTCGAATTCGCTGTGATCAAGTTTTTCTGAGAATATGTTATAAGTTACAGTCTTGGATTCGATTTTTTTTTAATTTTCTAACCTCCCATCCTCAGCTATATACAACCGCACTATTTCTTTTTGCAAATGGAATGAGCCACGCAGTTCACGTCACCCACGTGAAACACACGCTAAACAGTAGTTCAGAGAACGATACTGTTGACGCACATTTTCTCCAAAACTCATGACTTTTAAAAATCATTAAGTTCTGGCATTTTCAACAGGTTTGGGTGAAATTTTCATGATATTTGAACTTCGAACTGAGAATGTCAATCATGCTATCACTATAAACAAGATGATGTTGGACGAACAAGAAAGCTATCTAAGAAAGAAGATTACGATCTTCTCATTTCTGATTCCCAGAGTCCATCGTTACCTGTTTTACTGCTTTCCTACAGCCGTTGTTTTTCTCGGATTCATTAACGCTTTCTCCTTTCTATAACGACAACTCGAATATTTTCATTTCTGACTTTCTTTTATTTTTCTGATATTTCTTTTTGCTTACTTCCCTTTTGTAATACCCGGACCACTTCTTCAATCACTTTTTAGCAAGATTTGAAATTAAATGATACTATCTATCCCCAGGTGGTCAATGAAGTGACGCCGTGCATCTTAATGAGCTGTGTTGTCATCAACTCAACTCTCATTTTGCGATATATTCGATTATCAAACTGTTCCATAAACATACCGATAAAGTCTAAATAAAACTGACAGAGAGAAGCTGGCGAGAGAGAGACAGATGCTTTCAATACAAAATCCATTCAAAAAATGTACGAGAGCTGAACGTTTTACAATTGTCTATATGTATATATAGCGTATCTATATATATGTATAATACAAATAATAAGAAGTAAAAGTTAACTAAAATCTATAAATAATAAACAAGAAGCACGAAAGCTAATGATAATAAGAAGAAAGATGGTATGCCGTTCCCCCTGTCCTGTATGCTGTTTACGCGTTGCATGCTGTTTACAAAAGCTTAACTTCTCTCTATAAAGAATGAACTTTACAGTCATAACAGCAGCAGCATTTCCTTTTTCACATTTTTTGTTATTTCCAAATGAATATGTTAGGAAGAAGAACTTGCAAATTCGTTAACTTTGTGATTAAAAACTCAAAATCCCTAGAGCTTTATGCAAAAGCATTCTTTTTTTGTGAAAAAGTAAAATAATCAAATGGGCTGTTGGATTATAGCTTCTGCGTTATCGCGATTGCTTTGAGGGACAGGATTGTTGATCACATTAATTCTGAAACGTTGAATGATCAGCTATTCTGCATTGTGAATTGGAATTACTTTAAAAGACAGTAGACGGGTCGATGATCCGATTGTGTTGGTCCCGAAATGGTATTATAATCCTTCACACTTATCCAAAGAGCGTTTTGCGAATAGTATAGCACACGATCCTGATAGAAAAAAGTTGATAAACATATTTGAAATAGAGACTTTACAGTGTACGATGGTATGCGATCCTTCACATATTCGTCTGAGCCTAATTCATATTTGTGTGTAGGCGGGAAGGATATGTTTCCTTCTTCGAACTCCATAAAAGCTAGAGCTTAACAATATCGTTGCTCTCAGTTGTACAAATATGATTCTACCTTTCTGTCTTGATTGTGTTAGCCCATCGAAATCCATCACTCTTCTTATGTCTTCTGGATTGTTTGCTTCTTTCTGTTTCCAATTCAAACCGAGATCAGTATGAACTCGAAAGTTCAAATCTCCCATCCATATGACTGCCTGAAATTTTTTCCTTTTTTCATCGTGAGGTGTGCTCTATTACGTCAGCAGCCAAAACGCTTTCCATTCCAGAGAATTGTTGTAAGTTGGGAAACTTCAAGTTTTTCACAATTTTTCCGTAGTCTTGAATGCGATTTTGCATGCTGCCATCTGAAGCGTTAGAATAGGTGTGTGATGAGAACTCTTGAGGAACGTACGGGATAAATGGCATCCAATCACAACAATCCATCGTTGATACAAACGAAAGCAAACACCGATTCCTCCTTTTGTTCTTAAAGGTTTGGGTATTGGTGCTGAAGCTACGAATTTGATTTTTGGTTCTGAAACATAAGAACTAATTATTTTTTAAAGTTGCCATTTCTTTTGCATATTTTTGTGAATTAGAAAACGCGTTCATACCTGTAGCATATCGTAGATGAGCTTTGTTCATGTACATCACCATCATTTGACTCCATGAACGATTAGAAAAGAATAGACAGTGTGATTTCGGTAGAGATTCATTAAGAAGCTTCAATGCTTCTTCATGAAATCGTCTGAAGAATATAGAATCAATATAGATGATCAATAGTCATAATGTACTAACGTAGAAGAAGGTGGAATTTCTTGTAAAACTATGCATACGATATCTCCGAACTGTTCATTTGATACTTTGCTCAGCTGTTCAGTTAATTTTGATAATATTTTGACATTCTGTTAAAAAGTTCGAAGAAATATATTGTAGTTCAATACAGTTTTTTACTTTGTCGTTGATATTCCATGTTATACATCGAATAGATATCGAACGGTCTTGTCCTAATAAATTTATATTATGCTGAGAGGGTATTGGTACATTCCCATATCCCATAATAGGTATTCTAGAAATAGAGATTCGTAGTTTATATAAGTAATTCAAGCTACTTCTCTTCCTGTTGATTATGAATGAATGTCCAAGAATAGTCACCTGTATTTTCATCTGCAATAAGCTGTTAAAGAGGATATGTCTAATGCAAAACGTTCACATTCGCTGTCTTTTTCTTCGGCAACGTTGGGAGTCATTTCGTTCGTCTCGTTGGTAGTTGAACTGAAACAAATAAGAAATTAAAAATGTTGAATTGTTAACTATAGACTAAGCAAGTACCTCATAGCTCTCAGGACATATTTCTCGATTACTTGGATTAAGAATGACGGAAAGGGAGGGCTTTTGACAAACCTATCCTGTTGCTAAGCAACAGCATTGAGTGTAAATGCGGTAGAAAATTTTCATGTCTTGCCCTATTGAATTTGAATGGATTAAAGGAAACTTAATGAAAAGGCTTAACAAACCTGGATTGAGAGAGAACATCCAAATCTTCCAACAATATTATTTCAAAGTCAGTAATCAAAACCATTGAGAAGATAAGAAAGTTGTTGTTTGAACTTTTCCACACTGTTTAACTGATAAGCTAAAAATAATTTTTATACGTTTTAAGGTATTGTGTGACATGCCTCAATCCGGTCATTCATATTTCTTTCTTTCCATTAAGCATGTTCATTTATTTATTGATTAATTCATTTTTCCTTTAAACACAGAAATGGGTAATGAACATGGAAAACCGCATAAACACGCTGAAGCAGGACACGCTCCTGCTGCTCATGTTGATCAGAGAGTCGTATCTGCCTATGAAACAATGAAAAGCAATGGAGAAATGAATTATTCCAATTTTGTGGTTAGTACTTAACATTATATGAACAAGTAAATACTAACAGTGTAGCATTTAAGGGGATGTTCGGAGAAGATTTGGCTGAAAGTTTATGGGCTTTCTTCACAGAACAGCGAGATTCTACAAGTACGTTTAGTTGATTGATAGCCAATACAGTGATTAACATAAACGTGATCCACGTCACATGATTTATCCCAACTTTACCATAAACATGCTCATTGCTGAACGGTTGTGCTTAAATTAGAAGTCTAATTCGAACTGTAATATACTGCTGTTGTTTTTCAGAAATTAACAAGGAAGGAACTTTGGACAGAGAACAATTCAATAAGCATGCTATTCGTCTAATGGGATCTTCTCATGATATTTACGTTTCCAGTAAGTATTTCTCCCATACCTCACATGATCATATCCTCTAATTAGTTTGCCAACCTGTACATCATCTAATCAAAGTTTGCTCGGAAAGTGCCGGGGCTATTGCAGTTGAAGGTGATCAGCATTTCATCAAGTTATTAGCTGAACAAGTAGTATGTTTTTTGCTCAGTAATGGCCCATAATGTTTGTTTTTATTATGTAGACTAAGCACGGAGCAACAGAGAAAGAAATCATAACATGGTATAAGCAAGAAATCCCCAAATTAGGAGAATACGTCCAAGCAAAAGTTCTTCACAAGTTTTTGAATTACGATTTGGTTTGTTGTTTGTCTTTGGAGCCGCATCTGAAGCTAGTGTTGTAGGCGCTTCCCGATCTTTCATCCGATTTGCTCAGTCCAATACAGATGTGGTATGTTCAAGCAGTCTTGCCATCTATATATTTTCCCGATACGGACAAGGCTAGAGGCTATAATTAGCTGATGAACAAAATACAATATTTAGCCAGGTCAAAAGCTCAAACAATGGACGCCGTTATACAATTCAGCCACTCAAGGTGTCAGCGTGAATAGATTCGAAGCAAATGTTTTTGACTACAGAGGACCGACTGTTTCTTTCTTTCAGCTAGTAACAGGGGAAGTCGTTGTAATTGCCACCGATCAAGAATGGAGGTAAAGTAAACAACGGCAAGCGATGTGAAAAATATAATATTGCAGAAATAGCGGATCAAGATTTGGTGGACCTTCAACAATATATTTACAAATATATCCCACCTTATTGAAAATAGAAGAATCATCCTCAATCTATTGTAACTTCAAAATTCGATCTGCTGCATTCGGACTGTCATTCAAAAATATTTTCACCCTTGACAAAGATATGTCTCAGTTACGCGCAGTTGAGGTGGGAACCATGATGGTGGAAGATTCGAAGCAATTTTCTTAGGTATGGGGCTGTGCCGCTGCAAGCACAAAGATTGACCAGCAAAGGTTGAAGGATTGGCAAGGAAAGCAAGCAGAGAAGCACAAGAAGGTACCTTAAACTTCAATGTTCCATTCTGTAACACACCTTTAGGTACCATTACCTGGTAACTGGGATGACAATCCCGATAAAACCCTTCTGGAAATGGCAGGTTTCCAGTTTTCAAACGAACGTAAGCTCATGGAGGAAGCTGAGCGTAAAATGGAACGTTGATTCAAGTTTTAAAGAAATCATAGCACGAATATTCCCGAAAATTCACTTCTCAGAAATTTGCAGGTGTAGGAGCAATATGACCTATTGCATAATTCCGTTAAGTTCTAGTCTAATGAATTTTAAAAGTTTTATTGTTTAAGAAATAAGAAAATTGAAGAGCTCTGTTAATAAAGTTATTACCAGTTAATGTACGATTTATACAATAAATCGCTAAGAGACTTCAATCAACCGGAGAACAAAAATGAAAGAAAAAAAACAGATTCGCAACAAATTCTAAGACAAGAAAAAGTGGCTACATAATGAAAACAAGCGAATTTTCAACTACAATCTGGCTTTACACAAGCACCGGTAACAAATTACATGTACTCAACTTTTGGCTTTAAGTAGAAATAAAACTCTATGCGAACAAATCAGAGATCCATCGTCACTACAACATGAGCATACAATCACAATTATTTTAATTTTTGGGGGCGACTTTCTACATGATCTTTCGCGTCAATGGACGCGGTGTTGTTCCTCGCAGATTGATGAGATCATCATCTTCATCATCTGTGGTTTCTGTGATGTCATTCTCGGATTGTGAAAACTCACTATCCGCATCAGCATCTGGAACACGTTATAAGATTATCAAGAAAATAAATCTTCACGACTCACTGTCTGAAAACATTAACTCATCCAGAATATCTTCAGTGATATAGTTATGAGATTCGGACACAGTTTGACGTAAGACTGGACGAACGACAGGCACTTTAGACATAGCTGCCGCAAGATCAGTAAACGAGGAAGTTCTTTCAAGATCCATATTCTATAAAGTGATTTGGTGATTGAACGTTAAGCGAGATGGCAGAAAAACCTTTTCTCGTCTACTGAACTGTCGCCTCAGGGTTCGATCTTGATTATCACCGAATAGTGTTGTACGTAACGTGGAAGATCTCGTGAGCTCAGTTATCTTATCCTTTCCATAATCGTATCCAACAGCCTAATAAATTATTAGTTGAATTGCTATGTCTAAAAACAATTACCATAATGGTGTTAAACTTTCCAAAATCTAATGTCTTGAAAGGTTCGATAGCAGGTCGTAGATATTGGCAATAGGGAGCCTTCTTCACAGTTTCCAACTGCCGGACGCAGGACACATAAGCTAAGCGACTCTAGAAATCAAGCACATATGAATTGCAAAAAAACGAAAGAATATACCTGAATCTCTTCCATATTTAATATTCTAGGGGGATGACTGAATGGATTCAGTTTTTGAAATAGTACCCATAAACCACTAAGAGAATCTCCGTAATTGTACAGATTGGTTTCTTCAACCGCTCCGACATCTACAGCTATCACAAGTTTGGCACCCATAGATCTGAAACAGAACACATACAAACTTATATATTAAGCGATTTTCTAATACCGCATAACATCTGCAGGAAGATTGTTGACGTATCCTCCATCCAGAAGAAGATGACCATCCTGTGGATCACACAAAGGAGGAAGATAACCTGCTAGGGACATAGAAGCTCGACAATATGCCCATAGAGGTCCAGTACGATGAACTCTCATTTCAGAAGTTCTACAAAAATCTCGTGAAACAGAACAACAGGTGTCAAGACTTACGTAATGTCAGTTGAGATACAAAAGTAGGGTATCCATAAGTTTTCGATTTCTTGATCTCCGAAAACATCCTGAATTGATTTATTGAACTGAGCACCCGTAAACATGGCAGAATGGGCATAAGTGAGATCGAGGATTTTTCTCCATAAAGATGTCATGCTCTGGAAAATATCAAATATGATCAATGGTTCATGGAAAAACAAAAGTACATCAAACCAATATTTTGCTCTTTCTTCCACACGCTCATCTGGGGTGTCTGCGTAAATTCCACCGATGAACGATCCGATAGAAGTTCCTCCGACTATATCAACTGGGATTCCTTGTTCTCTAAGAGCTTTCAGAACTCCAACATGAGCAGCTCCTCTGAACAATCAAAATACTGCTAATAACTATGTTTATGCTTACCGAGCTCCTCCTCCTCCGAGGACTAACCCAATTGCGTTACCCGTTAATATCCTAGCCAAACGAGCAAAGTCAGAAAGATGATCAACAGTCCAGAACACATTCTTTTGATAATAATCAATAACATCTGCTTCAGGAACCTGTATATGGAATTTTGCTTTCTTAATGATTGCTGATCACTTACAACGCAAGGAGATTCCCTGGATAATTTACGACTTGGTTTCTTTGACCATTGCAACATTCGTTTAGGAGCCCGAATATGATGATGCCCGGAGAAGTAGCTGTTTTTCAGCCACTCATAAGTACCTGAACATAGAACAATGAGCATGAAATTAACGTTATAACGAACCAGTAGGAGAAACTGTTCCCTCTGGCCAGAGCAAGATGAGTTCCTTGTTTGTACGCACACCATCTTGATTCATACTTAATAAATCTCTCAGCTGAAGAAAACAATTCATGATGAACCGATTAGCCTATATCATACCAAAGAGCTTTTTTGCGGCTTTCTGTGTCCCATTGCAACTACTAGAATAGCGTCAGCTTGTCTAAGACATCTGAAAAAATTTAATTGAAAGCGGAACTCTCATGAATAAAACCTTCTGGTCCAATTCGTGGCAGTATAATCACATTCGTATATGACCAATGGGTAAGTATCTTCTTGAACATTCAGCCAATGCATCAATCGGAAATCAGCTTGCCTAAAGAGAATGATGATTATCCATGCACGACAACGAAGATCTTAGAGGCTTATGACAACACAACACGCTGCTAAGTATTTTTTTGCATTCGAAACATGGAAAGAACACTAAGGCTGTAACTTAGATAGTGTGGTCAAAAAATAACGAGCAGATTTAAACATGCACGCACAATACTAATCCCATATCATGGTTTTACTTACATCGACTCATCATCAGAAGTCAGAAATCTATAAACTATTATGAGCTCTATGATTTATGTGTTATTAAAAGCGTGCGGATCGAAAGATTGGTGTGAACTTGTTTTAAGTTTTTCTAGAAAGTTGAACAAGAACTCACTTTTCCAGTACAGAGTTATCCAAACAGGAAGCAACTTTCTGACTGCTTAAGCGCAAGACTCTCAAATTTGCTGATAATGCATGATACAATTCGCAGGTGAAAGGTACAAGAGGGACATCAGCAGATGCAGGGACTACTGCTATTGTGTGAAGATTCTTAACGCATATGGATATGATCAAACCATCCCAGAAGAGTTTTCAAACCTTGATATGTGACATAGGATCCCCAGCAGAATCAAGAACCTTTATAGTTGATCCTGGTACAAATGGAGCCCTCCGGGAAAGACTGCTGTAGTATTGACCAAGTAGCTGAACCAGTCGGAATCCAACTTGAGGAAATTGTAATTTGATGAAATTCAATAACCCTTCAGGCACTCGAGCTAGCTGTGAAAAACGAACAGCCATAACTGTTGTTGATCGGGGTTTCTTTTGTAAGACTTCCATCTTTAAATCATTCAAATGAGTAAGATATGGAGAGTTCAGATCTTACCATTCCCAGAACATCGCCTCGACCAAACTCTTCAACAACCGTCTTTTTTTCAACCGAACGTAGACGTCCACTAAGAACCACGAACAAAGAATCAGCATTATCTCCAGCTCTAGAATCAAATCAGCATTAAGTGACCGTTAAAAGGAAGATAAAAAACCTATAAACAGCTTGACCCGAATCAACAAGGACCCAATCAAGGGCAAAATCAACCCCTCGTAAGAATGGCGACAAACGTCTCAGAACGGAGTGAGCAACAGGCAAATAAATCTGTGGTTTCATCTCTAATAGCCTGAACAAACACAAAGTTCGGAAAACGATGATAAAATGATTCTTACTCATTGAAGTCCTGTTTGGACATTTTTGCAACAACGCATTTCGAACACGTCTTGACTGTGTAGAAAGATGGTTCGTTTGTTAGTAACTGAAGTCCACCTATCATGTCCCTGTATAAAAAATTTGCTTAGCTGTACGGAAATGTTTACTCACTTCGGGATCAACCGAGAGACAGTCTGGTCTTCCTCGTCTGGCTCCTCGTCGAACAGAGGCTCCTGAAATAACAAAGTCTCAGAAACATAGATCGGACGTATGAGAGTTAGATATTTCACGCATCACTCAAAACTTTAATTAGTGATTTCCACTTCAAAAGAAAACATAATTAAGTTTGAACTTCAATGTTACACAATTCTCAGAATATAACTTACTTCATCTATACATTCACAACGCTAAACGTTTCTTTCTTATTTCGTTTTCAACTTCAAACTTCTTGATACATACCTGAATGAGTCTTAAAGTTCCTGTTAGTATGAGCATGAGCTGCTCTTCTTCTGAGCCTTGTTCGACTATCACAGTATTTTCATCATATGTTTCTATCGTGACCTAACGTGAAAAGATAAGTTGGAAGTTAGAAACTCGATTCACCTTTCCGTCAAGAAGAGCTGGACCCTCTGGACCAAGTTCAAACTGCTCCGAAAACCACTTCTTTCCTAATGCTTGCATATCAGCTTGATCTACTGAATCACAGGTTCAAAATGTTTATCAAATAAAAATTAAAACCTTCTGTACTCTGATGACGATTTTTCTTGATTGAAGCAGCTGCTTTCAGAGATGCTCCACTCATTTGTCTCATTTTATCGTCCACGTTCATATCTCTTCTCTGCATAACAATAAATTGCGACGATAACATTAGGAAGAACATACCCTCTTCATTAGTTCAGAGCTTAATCCCATGTACTGATGTAACGTAGTCATCGTAACATGCAAAAGCCTTGTAATGACAATCTGTATGGGCCTCGTCCATTGCTGTGGATGCTCATGGAAGGAGTCTCGGAAACTCATAATAGGAAACCTTGAATCATGTTCATTCAAAAAAAGGAAAATTAAAAGCACCCACTTAGCTACTTTACATCTCTCCGCAGCCTTCAAAGAAACAGTACGGAAAACTGAAGGAACATTCTGTTGAAAAATGAGTTTAATATTAGAAAAGTGAATTATCAAACCATGAGAATGTCTAACATGGACAACAAAGAGAAGAAGCTGTTACCGGCAGTGATTTTCTTCACCAAGTATTCTTTTCCCTCCATATGCTGTAAAGAAAACATTAAAACTATGAAGCGTGATCTCTAATACCTTAATATACACAGCTAGTGTTCCCTCAATGGAAACATAAATTGAATTATCCTGCTCGCCCGGCTTAACAATGTATTCTCCTTTTTCGAAATCCCGAACTTCTATTTCCCTAGGATTTAACTTCCATTCAGCAGGCAACTCTAACATTCTGAACAGCAAATAGAGAGTGCGAAGGCTTCAATACGTTTCTTACTTTAGATTATGTAGAATGTAGAAGATTTCCGGTTGAAGATTCTGCGGGATTTCTGGTAGTGCTGTGGGCTCAAAGAACTCCATAGGTGGCATTGGGAGACGATCACGCAAGAGTGAAGACTGTCGGAAGTAACCTCGACTACCTCTTCGAATTAAGCTACAACCAGATGTATAAGAGAACTCATAGAACTAATGACAATCTTACTCTCGAGCCATTTGAAGAGGACCCGCTGTAGAGTGTCGTCTCCGAAGATCGCGCTTTTTCCGACGACCCTCCGAAGAATCTCCAGACGAGTCATCTGATGGAGTTCGTCGTCCTTCATCAGCCTGCAAGAAACAATAATATGGGCATAAAAGTGATATTTGAACATTTAACAATAAATATAATTAATTCGAATTATCGAAACATTGAAAAAAGGAATTGATGACAAAACAGAAGTAGCAAGACAATCATAAAAGTAACAACCTTCTCAACTCTCTTATCTTATAACATCGCTTCTGAGGGGAATGACTAAGATGAATCTTGAATAGACAGAAGCTCGACTTTCATGAATTCTTCGACAACAGACAAAGTTACAATCATCTGAAACATACCACAAAGCTTGTATAGAGTTTCTTAGCCCAATCCCGTTTTCGCATACGCCGTAACTCATGGGTGGTATCTACGGGGTTCACATAATCAGCTTCTTCTTCACTTTCGTGGATTGTAGAAACTTTTCGCACATTAACTAGTAACGAGTTGTATGAGCTTTGTTGAAATGAAATGAACAATCGTACCGGGTGAGTTTTTGGATGAATTATTTGTGCTTGGTGAATTAAATGCATATAGGTAATATGAAAGCAAGAAAGCTCCTAGTCCTAATGCTATCAGAGAAAACAATATAGCTACACACTGAAAATGGAATGAATATAAATAATTTTCATAATTATAACTTACATTTGTGAAAAGAAAAGTCACAATCCATATTATAGGTGAAAATATAGTGGATAGAAAAGCCATGTGTGTTTAATTCACATAAAATCTGAAAATGAAAACAATCAAAAATGCGAAGAATGAGAGCAGAAATGATGAAAGGATGATATTAATGACGAACATTTCTTCAACCAACAACGATTAAGCGATAAACATGAAATACAATATGGAACGGTAGTAGCACTTGAGTGATGACGTGGAAATGCGACGCATGCTAATTTCCACGTGAATTCATAAGCGCCCTTTGCGCATGAATCATTTTATTTATTGAAGGAGGATAGAGCGGTTGCATTACTAAGCATATTTCGTAAGCATAACATATAGTAAGGTTTATAGATCTAATATGTCCTGAATAATAAAAAGTTATAAACGTAATTGATCTATTTCTGTTCGACCATAATATGCCAATCTTAAGATGTACACTGAAATATTTTGATGCCATTTATGCCGCACACGTGGTCTTTAAGCATCACAACGGCACTTGATGTCATAATGGCCATATTTTTGCAGGATATACCGTTCAAACTTGTTCTGCGTCAGTGAAATCAAGGCTGCGAAAGAGAAAGGCTTGTGATGTAATCGGACCCGTTTCATAGATAAAAGTCATTTAAACCATAACAAAAGCAGAGAGACATTTTTCGAGATAGCATTGTCTAGTGGTGGGTATAACAGAAATGAGTTGTATGTGTGTGTGACCAAGAAGAAGGAAAAGCAACATACATAGACAGACAGCTGAAAAAAGAGAAGAAGGAGAAGCGATAGAAACGTTCAATGAGTTCATTTCATAACATTTTTGCACAAAAGACACTTTATTGGTGCAAAATCAACGTTAAGTAAGTGGCTCTAACTGCTCAAACGATGATTTCTTCTATTAGCACACAAATGCCACGAGTCTTTACTTACGTAGAAAGAGAACATCGGACTTGACTAAAAACTGAAATAGCATTATGAAATAAGAAAAGAAAAATGAGGAAAAAGGAGGAAGCGTGAGATATGAGGAGAGCAGAACAAACGGAAGAGCAAAAAAATGTGAAAACGCAGCAAATCAAGACAGCAAGGAAACGCACAAAGTTTAACGTTCAATTCCGTGCAAAATTGGGAAAAATACATCTCAAAAATAAGAAAGAAAGAGAGGTGAGAGAAGTGATGTTGTAAGACTGAAAATAGCCAGTAACTTGGTAAACATAACTCCAGTGGTCATGATGAAGTTGAACGAAATATGGAAATATGGATCTCAAACGAATGCGAATTTAAATAAAAAGTTTGACTATGTGTTTAACGAATAAATTAACTTAACAGGAGTTCAGAGATAATATGAATGGCCTGGGATTATGAGAACACTGTTGCAAAGAGGAGAAAGAAGAAAGCAAAATGCAATGAGAAAGCGAAACAGTGTATATATTGAAGAGAACAACAGATGCAAAACGATAAAAGTTCAAAGCAGATATTTAAGAGAAAAAGATTCAAATGGTAGTTCATGGAAATTCAGTTAGTGCAGTCAAAGGCCACATACACCATTTTTTGAATGTAAAAATCAATAGGAAGGAGGAAAAAATGAAAATTTACTCGGCAACACACAAATTGAAAAACATTCACATCAAGGAAACGAACTAACACACGAAAATGTAAAAAAAATAGAAGGAAAGAAGCTGTCTGTCTAGGTCAAAAGGATGAGACACAACGAAAACGAATAAAAAGCAAGTAGAATATTCTAGAAAAGGCGCGCCGTCGTCGTCGAGGGGACGCGTACGGCTAAAACCAAGTCCAGGCTGTGCTAAGCCCATAGAAAAAAAAAGATGATGAGCTTTGAGGATGGCTTACGAACACACGCAACAGGGATGAATTAAATGAGCTTCGGTTGGAAAATCAAATGATATAAGAAGTTTGTAACAAATTCCAAAATAGGATGATAAAGAAGAAACAATAAGGTTCTGTCCTATTATGGAACATGCGCTATTGGATCGTTGACCTTTCATGGTCATAAATTGTCGTGGCTTTCGTAAGTTGTTGTTTTGTCCTAAAAAGCTCGAAATACAAAGCCTGTTGTTAGTAGGCGTGTGTGTGTGTGTGTGTGAGTGCGTGTATGGGCATGTGTATCCCCCCAGAGCAGTATTTGACTAGCCTCGGGAACATTCAGTTGGGTGGGGCTGGGTGACAAGCTGTATAGAGAGATTCAGAGAGAATTGACCAGATAAGGCATTCAATTAAAGTTGTCATTGGAGTAATTGGGTTGTTTTCAAATAGCACAGTCATCTCTCACATACATTGGCTTTTGTTTATTTCGACTCTCCCGTTTTCTTCATCGATTATGGAGGTGAGGAGATGGCAGGGCAGTTTTTGCCTTCTAGTTCCTCCAGGGTGTGTCATACAAATGGTAGAGAGCTAATATATTTACGGGAAGAAAATAGTTAATTGGTAAAATTGTTTAGATGATGAGTCAACGAGTATTCGGAGCGACATAAAACATCTGCCTAACGAAATGATTCAAAATCAAGAAAATGGCTTGGCAGCTGTTTGTCCTTTTTTTGGCTCTTCTACATTCTCAAATCCGTGAATGGCTCATGCACCAAAGATAAATTGGAGATTGCTGTAACCGAATACCAAACGCGTCAGCAGTTACTATGAGAGAGAAAAAGAAAGGATAGCCGTCAATCAGCTGCTTTGAAACTCAGCAAAATCCAATGTCCAATAAGAGGATAAGTCGAAAGTCAACCATTGAAATCTATTTTTACTAATTGAACTTTCTATAAATGCCGCCAAACAGTTGAGTCTTCTTTGTGGCAGATTGGAACGAGGTGATTAATTGGCTGACAAAACAATCTAAAATTATACTTTGTAACTGGACAGTTAGATATCTTCATGTAGTTCTCACTTTGCTCTAGAATACTTCGAAAAAGGATGGGATAGTCATAAAATGAGAGATGAGGAAGACATAAGAAGAAAAACTTCTTCTTGTGTTTATACACAGCTTTGAGATCCATTATTCAAACTTATCTCTTCCCCTTCTCTCCTTCTCCTCACTCTCCTATCGTATATTGCATTCTCCCACACGTTATATTTCGCATTTCTTCTCTCTCTTTATCTACCTACCACTTTCTTCCGAAATCTTCAAGCTATAGAATGACCGAGAGGCTTTTGATCGGAGACAATGATAAAGTCAGAAACAAAAACATTTGAAAAAAAGTGAAGATTGTTTCAAGATTATTAATGCAAATATTAAAAATTCAAATGAGAAAAATGAAAAAAGCTATACGAAGAAGTCAAGATGAAGAAAGAGACGGAAAGAATAGGAAATTGCTATTGAAGCTTTCTTCTCTCTTAAGTGTTCCTCTCTATAGTAACTACACTGATTCTCAATAAGATCAGTTAAGAAATAAGATTCAAAAAACACAAATACGTCATTCGTATCAATGGAATTCATAGCGAATCTTTGAAAGTTCTAGAATTTTAAAAATTGTGAAACGAGAGAGGAGAGATACATCATGCGAAGAGACCAATAGATATAAATAGTTCAACGGATAGTTGTATAAAAAAAAGCAAAAATAAGTAGGATAAAAGTTATAAATGTCAAAATGGATGCGATCACACAGGGAGTTGTATTAGAAATGGATACGAACAAGAGACATCATAGAATGAGAGAAAAGAGCCGAGAAAGCTCTGAAAACTCAATGGAATGCTCATAACGCAGAGACAAAAGCAACATGATGAGCGAAACAAACAAGCTTCAAAGAGACAGAAGTCTGGCTGTGAGAAAGAGCATAAGCGGACGTTAGATCCTAGAGAAACGGATAAAAAGAGGGAGTTAGATGTCTGGATGAGAAAAAGAGAAAAACTGAAGACAGAATGAAATCGCACAACCGTTCCGTGTGAAAACTAAGTAATGAATGGAGCGGATGCCACGCGGTCCACGTGAAAACTTCACGTAGAAAACAAATTAGATTTCGAACAGAAACGTGAAACAGAAGAAAAGAAACTGAAAGAAACAAAAAGTAGGTGATAAACAACAAGTGAAAGCTCACTGATTTGTTTAAACAGTTGCACCACCATACCCCACGTGGTAGTTGAAACATGTCATGCGGCTTTCTTGTCACTTCTCTTCCTGATTAAGTGATTCAAGCCTGATAACACCTCATTGTACTTAGATTGTTCCGATCATTTGACTCGCGTAGCGGAATTAAATAAGAAAATATCAAATACGGAGGTCCGGTAAAAGACAGATTGCTAAGTCACGCACGTTTTTGAGCAATTTAACTAGAATTTACTCAAGAAATCGTTAATGCTCAAGATGCATTTCATGATATGAAGTGCACGAGGACTAAAATGTGAGAATGAGAGCAGAAAAGCAGAATATCGGCACATCATAGTTCATACGAGTTGCAGACAAGAAAAAATGAACAGCTAGTTTTAAAAAAAAACAGAGCACATGATGAAAAATAATCTTCAAAATGTTTTAAAGAGAATCGTATGAACGGGCAGAACAACAACAGACGAATACTGCGTTGAGTTTTCTGTAAATCATTAAAGTTCAAGAGATTGCACTTGCGACTTGGATGAAGCGAAGCTATTGCAAGAAGAACTCAACAACATCTGAAGATAATTTTCTTATAGCGGATTATGAAAAACAGAGTAAGGAAATTCTCAAAAGCATTCATTATTTGCCTGTTGTTTCTAGGAAAACTGTAATCAGTCATAAACTTGCAAAACAAATGGAAATGAATCAAAGAGGGCAAGAAATGAGATTCTAGACATAATCAGATAGTGGGACTGCAATGAGAACGGTTATCAGCAGAAGATCCGCCCCTTCTCTTTGTCTCTTCTAGTTGAGCTCCCTTTTCCATCCTCTCTTTCTCTTTTATTTTGTCTGTCTAGGCACAACCCTCTTTATAAGGTATACTTTGGTTATGACAAGTATTTACTAGTTAATCTGGTCTAAGATAATCGAATTGAGAGTACGACGACATGAAAGAAAATAAGGAAAGGAAGAAAGAATTCTCCCTTCTCTCTCTCTCTCTCCCTTTCTCTCTCTCCATCTTTCTCTTTTTTATTTCCATATCGTTCCTGTTCTTTTTCAACACATGGCATATTACGAATCAAAGCAAGCGGTCAAAATCATTAAGATATATGCGGGGGAAGAGAAAAGCTTAAACTCCAGCTGAACGGCAGGACAAAAATGAGCAGTAGAAGCTCTATTCCCTAATAGTTGTTTAAGAAAGCGAGTTTTCCAACTCTGAAAGTTCAAGCTTGAAGAGAGATGTTAGAGGCAACCAAACATGAGAATGATCAGACGACAGAACATGTGATTGCAAACCATTTGTTTCTCCAACAAAAAATGTTAAAAACATTACAAGAGTAAGAGGAAAGAACAGAAACAAAGTTTTCAGCTTCATCCCTTCTTTTTTTCCATTCAAAAGAGGTCGGAAGTGAATGAATAAGTTGAAAGCTACAAACGTAAAAGATAAGAACTTTGAAAAGAGTTTCCAAAGAGAAGGAAATAGAAAACGAAATGCTACATTATGGGGGAAGGTGAGGGAGGTCACCGTTAAGTATGCTAAATGCCAATGAACCAGAAAAAACAAGACAAGTAGAGAAGAAAAAACTACTAAAGAACTGATCTATTGAAGAACTGGTCAAGTAGTTGTAATGGCAGACCTTTTCAAGGAAAAAAATTTTTTAATTTGGTCGATCTTACAGCAAATGATGAAAACTAAAAAGTATGGACTAGATTCAGAAAAGTTGTTTTTTAACAAAAAATATACATGGGACTAATGGGGTGAAAGTGTTAAAACACTGATCGAATGACGTCATCTCTCGCTTGTTACACAATCTCTTATCATGGTAATTTGGGATGGAAAATGATGATGGCGATACATAAGTGGTCCACTTTGGTCAAAACTCGACAAACTTCCATAAAAAGACTTTGTAATTTCAATAATTTCACCCATCATCCAGAAATTTAAAAGTTTTTTGATCGTTTCTTATCAAGATGGCAATATAAAGGGAAAAATTTCTAAAATTAATCAAATTTGGAAGCAAAGGAAACAAAAACTTTTCAAAACCTTCCCAGCGAATTTCAGCGACATCGTAATTAATATGAAAATGATGGATAGGGAACAGTCACATGGCTAGATCTAAGGAAAGCCAATCAGGAAACGCAAAATAGGAGAAAAACTTCAGAAGAAATCAATTCAACCGAAGCTTGCCAAGGAAGACTTCTCAAGCCATGTCAGAGAATTAGCACTTTCGTTGAAATCTCACATTGTTTTTCACGAAGTTTTCGCCGCATACGATTGATGATGTATCATATATATATATCCATCAAACCACATGGAAGATTCGAAAAATGATGACTTGATGATAGATGAAGTGTTGAACGAAGGGAAATTCCTTAACTATGTGCATAGCTGAGATTAGAAAGTCGAAAGATCAGACACGTTCAAGAATTCAAACCATCTCCCATAGATAATTATTAATGAATGAGACATCTATACTGACCACGTGGTATGTTCGTCAAATAAGACGTTTTTAACATTTCTAATCTCTCTCTCAGATAAAGGGACGAATCAGATTAGGAATCAGAAAAGAGAAACAAGAACTATATATAGAGAAAGATACATTGGAAGATATTGCAGAATTTAAGGAATAAAAAAAAACAAAAGAGAAGCTGTTAATTAAATATTAATGAGCTGATGCAAAGGCTGCACGCTTATTCAAGGAACTCTGCTATAGACGGCAAATTTAAATTTCAGATGGCGGGAAAAGAATATGTGTCTTGCCATGTGGAACAGAAATAGCAGACGATCTGTATGCCCTCGTGTGTATTAGAATGATTTCACGTGCATTTCGTACGGTCCTGCGTGCACTTTTCATTTTCATCTATTTTGTATTGCATTGCGGTCGTGTGCAAATCATGAATGGGAATGGAGTAGAAGCTGAATGCGAATATGAATGCTTCATAATCACATGATTAGCCATGTGGAGATGTGAGAGTGAAACAAAAAAAAAGATAATTTAATGTGAAAATATAAATTTTTATCGACAGAATTATTTACAACAACAACATTTGAGTACAATAAGTATAATATGAAGTATGAAAACACAAAGTGATGTATAGAAGACAGGCGGTGGACAGAAGAACGTGGAAGTTCGGTCCATATATTCCACATAACTAACCAAACAGATTGTTTTATAAAATCCTTCAATATTCATATTTGACTATATGTTTGATGGTATAGAACATACCAAATATTCCGACAACTAGTGATATGAGCGCAATAGCTACGTATACAAGGGCTACCAGTAAGCCGACAACAATTTGAAATGCATCCTTTAAAAGGAAATTAAATTCTTTTAAAACTTATTGAAACTTGAATCCACTCTTACAGCTCTTCTCTTCACACTAAATGCCTCTTGTTTTGAGTTTCATTTTTTCTTTTTCTCCTTTCTTTTTTTGTTCAAAAATATGAAAAGAACTGAACCTTGACACCTTTAGACACTGCAATTGATGTTTGCATGCATGTCACAAAGAAAGCTGTCGCGAGAAGAACTTGCAATACTCCTGAAAAGTTATAAATGGTCTCAAATGGATTATAGTTTGAGATAAAGAAAACTTTCTGCTCTGCTCCAAAAAACAAATAAAAATTATCTTTTTGGTTCATCATTATCACGGTAAGTTGATGTGATGATAAGACTGATAGACTAGGAGCAAAGTGGAAAATGGCAGAATAAGGTTTTCAAGTATTACCGTAAACTATCAGAACGACGATGAGTTCTTTGGCCTTTGATGCTGTTTCCGGAATGTTATTCAGATATAATAAAGCCACAATGACAGCACCAAGACCTGTAGTAGCTGAGACGAAAGATGTAACGGCCTGACGAGGATTCACTACAAGCACATTGATGAAACTTCATCATAGTTATGCAAATTAACTCATTTGTTCGAGTATTTTCACGAAATCAGCCACCATATCCTCTTGAGATCGTTTTTTTCGTTCCAAACGACGCATTTCTTCATCATCTTCCATAGCAATAACGGAAACCTAGAACAGCTTGGTCTTTCCTCAGTCTTTTTTTCTTTTCTTTTTTTTTGTCTTTTCTCAAATTCACAGAAGAAAAGCCGAAAGTGGATTGTCTGTGCATGTGTGTGCATATGTGTGTGTCTATGGACTGGAAAATAAAAAAAAAGCAAAATTTGTAAGAAAAAAATTTTTTTCTTCTCCTTTTTTTTGAAAATCCCTAATCATATATCATGGATAAGACATAAACAAACCTTTGTTCGTTCTTCTTCATCCTGTGTCTTACTTACTTTGGACTTCTGAAAATAACAAGAAATTCTCTTTCTTCTCTTCATTTTGTCGTTAAAAAAATGTTTTCTTTTCTCCCTGTAAAGGATAAATTCTCGCCTCTTCTCAAACATCGTACTTGATTTGGCAGACAAAAAACTGAGAAGAAAAGGAGGGAAAAAAGTTATTTTTTCTATCCTCCCTCACCCTTCACTATGGGTATGTGTGTGTGTGTGTACGTGTACGTGTGTGTGTGTGCGGTGTGTTGCTCGTCGCTGAATTAATTTGATGATGAGAAGAGGTGAGAGGACGTCTATTGAGACGACGACAACGACGACGACACATCTCATCACATTCGATTCATATATAGAAGCTTTCTTCTCATTCATATTCATTTAATGTTGTTTTAGAATATTTATAAATTTTAATAGAAAAATACTCACGTAATTGACAAAAAGATCAGAAAATGAATTCATTGTGGATGTGAAGAGATGGTCGAACGATAGGTTGTGAAAGGACTGGCAGAGCGAAAGCCGAAAAGCATCAAAACGAAATCTCAAATGCACGCGAAATTGAGATTTTTAACAACGAAATAAGGTCTTTTTTTGATTGAAAATGGAAATTAGGAAGGGTTTTGAATTTCACAAGAAAAGTTTTTTTTAAAAGAAAAAAATGAGGAAAACCGCATGGCAAGCGTGGGAAAAAAAGAAGAAGGAGAGAGAGAGAGAGAGAGAGGGAATATGATAGAGAGAGAGAGAGAGAGAGAGAGAGAGAGTGAGCTAGATAGATAGATGGAGGAGGGAAGAAGGGAGTGAGGGAGGAAAGATGTAGAAGGAGCAACTTACATTCTCTTTATTATTTAGTTGACCTTGTCGGTGAATTTTATACATCTCGTAATCTGAAATGAAAAATTTTTATGAAAAGAAAAAAACAATTTGTTTTCCTTATTTGGTTCAACAGAGATTTAGTTTTTGCAAGAGGATGAGAGAATTTCATTTGGAAATGACAATTGTAAATAAAATATTTTATAAACTATTACTATGAAAGTCTTAGGCATCAGAGCCATCAACACAAGAAGGAAGGTTTTATGAAAAGTTTTTTTCGTTTCAAGAATTCATTCCTGAAATAGCAGCCACCCTCTCTCTTTATTACTTGTAAACGAACAACTATCAGAGAAGGAGAGAGAGAGGGAAGTGAGAGGGAAGATGGTAGAGTCCTTAAGACAAACAGATAGTCAAGGAAAAGTATTTTGACTGAAAGAGAGAGGTAGGAAGGAAGACAGAGAGAGAGAGAGAAAAGGGATGCGGCTGAAGAGAAACTAGTAGAAGAACCTAGTCAACCAGCTAAATCTCAAAAAATTCAAGAATATCAAGAGAAGTGCTTTGTTTTTTTCTTAGTAAACCCCAAAGTTCATGCGTAGAGAGTAGAAGATGATCTCTTTCTCTCTCTCATACTCTCTCTGTGAAGGTGAGAGACAAGAAGGGAGTTGTCTGGAGAGGTAAAGTACTATGAAGGTAAGTGTAATGTACTCCATCATACAAAGGAACTTTTTTGTACACAAAAAGATTATTAAATGGTTTGTTCAACATGAATATTGAAAAAGAACAGAAAGGAAGGGGTATTAGCATAACGAGGGAAAAGACTAAGATAGAGAGAGACAAGTAAAGACAGAGAGAAAGAGAGAGGGAGAGTCAGTGGCCTTAAGTTAAACGAATAATTCTTCATATTTTATCCTTTCCTATGACTTTTCCAACTCTTTTTGTGTTTGAAGCAGAAGTAATGAGAAAGATTTACTTTGAAAGTATTCCGAAACTGAGCTTTTCAATCCAACGAAAAAAAAGAATTCAAAAACGTCAATGTTTCCAAGTTTTTACTTGAAAAATTACAAATTGTGCTTCGAACAAGTCATCAGAATGTCATGTGCGACTAGCAAATATCAGAAGGTGTGTTCACGAGTTCTTTCTGCAAACGAGAAATCGTGGAGTGACAGCGATGAGAAGCAGAAACTCATCCGAATATCTCCAAATATGTATGAAAAGCTCTAAGTAGAGGTAGAACGATGTCTAAACTCTCAGAAATTCACGAGAATGCGTGGCAGTTGAATGTTTAAAGCTCACAAAAAACATGTTCAAAGTAGATAACGAGATAGAGAGAAAGAGGTAGATTGAGAGGTAGAGAGAGAGAGAGAGTGAGAGAGCAAGTTCTACCAGACCATACAAAATATATTTTTTTGTTAAGATTACATGCATTAACAACATGCGCATTGTTTTATCCATAAAAAAAATGAGAATTTCAGGTTTTTTTGATCAAAAAAATAGAGAAGGCTTTTCTTCCTTTTTTTTCTTTTTTTTTGTTTCCTCTTCGCACTTCGCATCTCTCTCTCTCACTTCTTCTCCCTTCCATGCGCCTGAGTACAAAAACAGTCCAATTACGGCGTGGAGCTGTTTGATGATTTATTGAATTCTTCTTCTGATACTTATATACGTTTTCAGTTCCTTTGTCACATATAAATAATCAATAAGTATCATTTTATTTGTTGATATTGCCCAAGTAAAGCTGAGAAAGAACATTAACAATGACTTATGGAGAGTCTCCTTCTTCCACTTCATTTTCAAAGAAGACACAACTCGTATGTGTCGTCTTATTGTGTGTCCCCTATAGTCCATCCTTACTATATACTATATATGTATTTATACATCTTTTATATAGTATAAAAATTAAATACAACAAAAAAAATTATTTCATATAAGCGATTCGTCTTCGCAATTGTCCTTTGGGTTCATGTGAAAACAATTGAAAGAACAATTGAATTCGGCTCACTAACTTCATTTCTCAAAAACAAATTCGGCTAACTGTCATCACGATTGAAGTAAGCTATTCAATCACAGCATAGCCATGAGCAGCAGAAGGAACAAAAATTTTTCTTTTTTTTTCTCTCTCTCCGCCATCCATGCAATGTTTATTACACGTTTTCATAAACTATCTTGATTGAGATAGAAATATATAGTTTATTATAATTATTATAATAATATGAATGAAAGCCATGCAATCCTTCGCTCGCTCTCTCTCTTTAACCAAAAGTACGCAATAACATTTAGACGAATAATACAAAATGCTTTCGGCCCAATCGCCCCATGTTTCTTATCTTAAAAGTTCAAAAATGGAATGTTATTTGGCATTTGATGGTATTGAGCTGTCAATTCAGTTGGTACATCTTAAAGAACAAGAATTATGATATGTTATGATGATACGCACAATCAACCGCTCTCTGTCCTTTTTTTTTAAAAAAATGATTGGCGGGTGCATGCAACTGCCATGCCCTCGAGCGCCCACGTTTTTCGCGTGAAATTATGCAAATTTTTTTTCTCTTCGTTATCTTCAAAGAGTCTCATCAATGGAAATGATAGAAACAAGAGCCATGTGGTGTTTGAACAAAAAAAAACATTTTCGTTATTCTATTCATCCTTGCATACGTGATGCTCAACTCCTAATTGAGAATTCATGCATGATCACGTCACCACATTACATTTTCCAGTCAACGTCTAAGTTACGACTAATGAATATATTGTAATTAAAACAATATATATGATATCAATGAGTTTATGGATATAATAAAGAAATGAAAGTAAGAGCTTACTGATCATCATGATGAGAAGTGCAAAGAAGCGGCGATAAGCCACTTAGTGAAGTCAGAGAAGTAATTCGGCTTGTCACCACCAGCAGAAACTAATTGATGTTATTTCCGAATATAGTATAATATATATATATATATATATATATATAGTTATATTAAAATAAATATATATATGTATATATAAGTAGATAGAAGGATTTGAAAAAGCTGAGTTGTAAGCTTGATCTTGAAGCAGTTTAATGCTTGTTCCACTTCAACGTCAAATGAATAGCTCAGCTACAAGTTGAAACTCCACAAATAGAAGATGAGACAGGGCTTGATGGTGGGTGGAGACAGATTTGACTTTGATCTTTCTTTGCACAAAGACGAAGTTCTTTTTAATTTTTTTTTCTGTTTCAGCCTCTTTTTCATCTTTATCAAATTATATTCATTTTGAGGGAAAGACGAAGAGACCACAAAGAGTATTGGGAGCTTGGGCATATTGAGCTTGTTGAGATAATCTTAAACGAGGTCATCTCGTTACGATCTTTGCTTCTTGCCTAACTGCAACAACAGAATAATTACGTTTTGAAAGATTAAAAAGAAGAAGCATGTTTTTCTTAACATTTTCATACAGCAAGTAACCATCGTCTCATTATTGCAATATCAAGTAACTCATTAGATGAAGCTTGGATAGATCATAAAAGCTTTTAATCGCATCCGCCAGTCAGAATATGTTTCAGTAATTATGCTTCGACATCATGATTATGCTATGAAGTAGCGATACAGACAAGCTTACATCTCCCCATCTTACAGTCAAATGAACTTTGAGTGAAATAAGGTTATAAACATATATGTTTAACTTATCCAAAGTTCCATTCGTAGTTTCCATATCTCTAGGGAGCTACTGGGGTGACATCAGATAGAAAAAAAAAGGAAAAAAAATTGAGCGAGAAAGCAAGCTGTCAAAGAGATATAGAGAGTATTCTACGAAATCGGGAAATGAAAAGGTTATTTTTAGAAGAAAATAACATAAATAAACATAATAAACTACCTGTTACGGATTTTTGTTGATTTGTCAGAAAGTTGCTGACATTCAGATAGTAAGTCATTGTGGTATAGATGATGATGATGATGGCAGTTTCGTTGTCAGTTGAAAGATCAGAACGAAGCAACCCACACACGCATATGCATGTACACACTCACAGGTCAGAGGGATGAAGTCGACAAGTGATTCTTTGGGAACCCCACAGAAAAAAAAGAAGGAAAAAGCGAGAAAAAGGTTTTTTTTTCTGCAAGAATTTATGAGAGCTTTCTCCAAAGTACGTGAGTACGTGTAACGAATAGAGAGAGAGGGTGGTGGGGGGGGGGGGGGAAGAGTGGGTGAAAAGTCGAAAAAAAGTTACAGCAATATGACCTCCATTTCATATAATTTCCATATTGTTGAGTACTTTTATGAGCAAGAAATGCAATTTCTGCATAAGGAAATAACTCTCGTATCCTTCTATTCCTTATATGCAAATTACATTCTGTCTTTTATCTAAGAAAAAAAAATGACAATCACATGTGCTTCAAAGGGGTGGGAAAGAAGGAAGGACACCATGAGAGAGTGAGAAAGATAAACTACATTGGGAGCTTATGAACAAGCTGTTGTACTTTCACGCTCCTACGTGAGGGTTCGTAAACTCCTTTTTTCATTTTCCCAAAAGTGGAACAGACGATACGGTTGTATTCGATAGCCAAGATGGAAAATAATAAAAAAAGTTATAATTTTCTTTGGTAAAAAGCAAAGAGAAAGAGGAACAAGAACAGATTTGAGAACGAAGGAGGAGATACTTGAAAATTAGAAATCGAACAACGTAGATCAAACACGATGAATGTACTCGATCACAGGAGCAAGACAGAGAGAGAGAGATAGATAGATATAGAGAGAGAGAAGCTGGTTGGACAAGTTGATCATTTGCAAAAAGAAAAGTAGACAAACCTTTTATGAAAAATATGAGAGAAACCTGATAGGCTTGTTGGAGATTAAGTAAATCTAGATAGAATGAGTCACGAATAGAAGGTAAACTCCAGCGATCAGTAGCCATTAGATAAGGAAGTAGCCGTAGAAGGAAGATGACCCCAAGACCAAACGAGAAATAAAAAAAGTGGCAGCCGGAAGCTCACAAAGAAATGGAAATGAAAAAGGAAAAGCAATCATTTAAAGCTTTTTGCAGAAGCGAACTCTGCAGATTGTCAAAAGTCATTTCGTCCTCTACAGAAGTACGATGTGTAAATAAACAAGATGGCATTTAATGAAAAAACGGAGGCTAAAGATTAATAATTAGTTCATAACAGAGCAGAGCTTGTTCGTTCTCTGCCCCGGATTGGCGACGTTCAACAGTAAGTGTCCTCAAAAGGTAAAAAGCTTTCAAATATGTTTGAGCATCAAAGATGATGACAGCTTGAGTTCTAACTCAGAAGCATTGAATGGCTCGAAGACTTCGTTGTCGAATAGAAATTCTTTTTTTGGATATAATTATTGGTAGAACAAGAAGGAGGTCTATGATATGTGTTGGATGATGAAGCCAGGCAATAGGAAGACAGGAGAGGATAGGGGGGGGGGGGGATTTAATAAAAAATAAGAAAATGCCTAATGGATTGATTAGCATAATTCACTGCATTTGCATAAAAATGACATGAAAACTAAGCTTTTATGGCTTTGTTGTCATCATTTCTCAAGCACTAATGCCATGAATAGACTTTTGAGGAAACACAAAAAACTTATTTAAATATTCCTTTAACATTAGTTATGATCTCTCTTGTTGCTGATGAAGAAGACCATTTGAACATAACATAGACGACCGCTAAGTGTTTGTGCTACTTGTAGCAAATGAAAAAAAAACGTTTCTTTCTCGTCACCCCCAAAATAAACTTCAAATTGAGTCGACGTAAATGAAAAACGTGGGAGAGCTTGCAAATTGGCGCATAATTGCTCAAGGTGAAAAGGACGGCTCTTTCTGTGATTTTTTGACAAAGAAAGAACGGACCGAAGCTTTCTGTTCAAAGCTCAGTAGCTAGAAGCTTGAAACCCACCATAAATTATAACTTCTCTAATCGAATAATACAATTGACTATTCAAACACGAACAACGGAAGATTTCTAGACAAAGTTCAAAGTTTAAAGAAAAAACAGAATGACATATAGTGGTAAGCTGAGAATTATGCCCTGAGGGCTATTACATCCTTATCGAGAAATAGTTTAAGGAAGAGCCAGACTTTAATCATTGGTCCTTTATATAATTCTAATGACCAGATTAGTTGACTAATTATATCCTCGATGATGATCAATAATCTGTTTCCTGGAACAGCATCATGCTAGTATTTTGAGTTCTTCCTTATTGCTATCGGAAATCATTAAACCTGTTGGGCCAAACGCAATGCCCAGCTCAGCTCATTTACAACGTTACCCTTGTTGTTCTGCGAAAGAGAGAGATCGGTTTTCTTCTGTAATGCAGACAACTTCCGTCTCATCTCATCTCAAAGCTGAATCAATCTTTTTTGAGTTTGTGGACCAAAAAAAAATGTTTTTGGAACACTTAGCTGTTCGTTTGATGGAAAGGGGCAGGAGGAAGGTCCTCATTCCCAATATAAACATAACTTACTTCTCATTTGATCGGATGTTGTGCTAAAGAAATTGAAGCGGATCAGCTTAGAAGATGAAAGCACAGAGAGATAGAGAGAGAGATAGGCAGAGAGATAGCTTTCGAATTAGCCGGACGAATATTCAAATATTTGATTCATTTTTACAGCCAAACAGATGAATGTCGGAAACATCTGGATGAGTGGAAAATCATCTGACATAACCACAAAACCTCCCATCTTTCAAAATAAAAATTAAATCTCGAAATGCTGAGTGAAGATGTGCTAATTTGTTTGTTTAATTTTTCTGTTTAGTACGGACAGCGGAAATCCTTCATGACCTTCGACACCGTAATCGTCAACAGTGAGCATCTCAGCTTAAACGATGCGAATTAAGCCTTTTTTCATATTCACACATAAAACGATAATTGGCGTGAACTATTGAGAGCAGAGCGGGAGCGAGAATGCACATAAAATTCTTATGAGAACATATAGTTTAAAGACTTCTTTCATCATTCAGAGCTCTTAAGAATTTGGAAAATGGAAAATCGGATGGTTTTGTCTTAAACCAACGACTCTCTTCCGCATTCGGAAGAAAATAAAACTATTAAATTGGTAGAGAAATAATTCTATTGATGAGAACAAAACCAAGGAAATTCATCATCTTCAATATTATCCAAGTTAATACATATGAACTTGTAGAGAGAGAGAAAAGGTAAGTGGGAGAGAGAGAGTGAGAGAGTGAGAGAGAGAAAGAGGAAATCCGAAAAATCTCACCCCCTGGCTTGAGGCATGAGCATTGTTGTTTCGAAACAAAAACAGCCTTTTTTGTCTTTTCTACAAAGATAAAAAAAGAAACGGAAACATCTTCTCACAACAGTCTTCAGATGTATCTCATCTAGTCAGCTTTAATGGTAGCTCGTCTATTGCACAACCGAATAAGCAACACAGACAATACGGAAAAAGAAATCCGATTACATTTCCTAGCATTATTATGCTCAAGAATGACACAAATAGCTGTTTAATAAGCTAGCTTAACCCAATAATTCTCTCTTATTCTAATATTTCAGAATTTTCTGATTTCAATTCCTTCTTCAACAGAGAATTTAAAATTAAAAACATGGCAATGGAAACCAGCTAGCTCATCTTCAAGAATGCAACCGTTATGTAGATTCACAGAGTAAAAATAAAATGCGTGGTAAATTGGAACGTCTAATTAGCATATGCACTTCTACTCAAAACCACGTGATAGGTTAGTCGATGAAAAAGAACGAAAAAGAAGAAAAGTTCGAGAATACGTGTAAAATATAATGAACATACCTTCTGATGATCGACTTGATCCCAGTCCTCCTCGATCCGCCAACGGTTGCTGTGGTGGCGGAGGTGGTGGAAGTGGTGGTGGTTGTCCGCCAAAAAGCATATCAGATATATTCGGGTAGAGGGCCCGAGATTTGTATCCCGTATCCGCACCCATAGCTACACAGACAAAATAATTCAGGCGAGAGGTTGGACCTGAGGGCGGCGGCCTGCCTACCACGACGATAGCGGATGCCTACAGGTGCTTAAAAGAATTCAGTCTTTTCGCCACCGTCGTGGAAGTTCAACCTTGGTCTACCCGAAAAAGAAACGGCCAACTGATTGCCTTCTCCAGGTAATTGCACTCTCATCACGTCTTATCTCTTTTTCGAATATTCATTATCTCTGCGGGACTTCGACTTCGGCGTAAAGGCAAGAGAAAGCTAAAGAGAACCCAAAGAATAGTTGTGTTCCGTTCTAAGTCATTCTCACTTTTGTTCTGAACATTACCTTTCAAAAATAAAAAAATATGTACGTATGAATTTATTTTTAAAAGGCTCGTAGAAAAATTGAGAGATCAGAGCATTGCATGGAACAGATTCAATCAAAGGAGACGTCTTCACCATCAGACACGGCCATATCTGTATCTGACATATTCATCCTGCAATATAATGTTTGAGGTCCAAAAAAAAAACAAAATGATCTAACGCAGTAGGGCTGCTTTGGCAGTTTGGTTCCATACGCGCTGGTGTAGCCTCGACATCCATAAGTATAGCACTATTTTTTTGGTTTACTTCACGAAGGACAGCTCTTCCCTCCTCACAAGTCTGAAGAAAGACCATATAACTGTTATGAGTTTATGCCACAAACCGCTTCGTGTTGAAGACAGCGTTGTGCATATTCTGTAGCTTTCGCCAAATCACCGGTGCCACAGTAATACTTGGCCAAGAAACGTATGATGTGAGTAGCATTTTCATCATATTCCTATAATTTAGGAGCTCTAAGGCAAACTCAAAATGGAATGAGAACCTCAAGGCGTGTACCATCGTATGTTGTGAGATATTCTTCATACACTCTAGCAGCCTTAGCTAATTGATTAGCCTTTTCGAAGAGCCTGTAATATTATTCTGTTTCTCCACAATATAATCAGAAATGTACTTCGCCAAATGCCAGAGAGCGTTTCCTTCCACGTCTCCGTACTCGAAAGCGGTAGCAAAACATTTTTGAGCGTCTTTCGACCGACCAATGTGTGCATAAGCTACACCTAAGGCTACAAGTATTCTGGAGTCCTGTGGGCTAAAAAATGAGTTTATGATTGCTCCTTTGCTCCTAATCCAACCTGCATTTGTGGGCTTGTTGGTAATAATACAAAGAGTATGTTGTCATTTTCAAGATGTCATACATTTGTCCCAAAGAATACCACCCTCGGAAATCAACAGGGTCCACTTCTACAATGAAAGTTTTAAGAAGAGTTCAAACTTGGGATTTTCACCTGTTGCTCGTCTATAGGACAGACAAGCACCAGCATTATTCTTGAGTTCCAAGAACTCATGTCCAATTAGAACCCAAATACTTGCTACCGTAGGATTTAATCTGGCAGCTCTTTGGAAGAAACGAATAGCTTGCTGATGTTCTTGTCTCATATTGTAATAATTGCCTGAAAGAACGCATAATAAAGTACAAAATAAAGGACAGCAAAAGCGCACCAACTATACAGCATGTTTCCCAAGCGAACTTATGTGATTTGAAAAAGCTGTGCGTAAGAGCAGTTAATGCAACCCGTTCTCCCTTAAAACATTTGATAACCAAGAAGCCACATATCAGGTCTTACTTTACAGAATAACGAATCAGAGTATAAGTGCATGTGCTCTAAACGATAGGGGTCTAACTCGTTGACCTGTTTGAAGTATTTGACAGACTCCCTGTGATCTGTAAGAAAACCGTTACACTTCTCATAATGTCCACTGATAGCTTACCCAAAGCATGGTTGTAACATGCTCCGATCAAAGATAAAAGCTGAGGAAGATCTCCGAAAATTTTCAGTAGCGTTTCGGCTCGAGTTATTCCTTCTCTAAAAGAATCTTCACAAAGAACTCTTTGAAAGGAGTAAACCTGAATAGTTGGAAACGCTTGCAATACAGAGATGTGAACCACGTGAAAATCCAAGGAATTGAATTAGTAGAAAAGCATAAATCAGAAACATTTGTGAACTTGAACTTGAAATAAACTTTCGAAAATCTATGTTCGTTACCTCATATTTGGGTATGACATTCACCATCTCCTCCCAAGCTGGCCAGAGCCTTGGTTCTTCTTTCACAACGTTTTTTAGTGTTTCATAACCCGCTTCAGTCATGCCCAACAGTATTTGAACTCTCGCCAGTCTGTAGAGGGAATTCAATGACAGATTTGAAGACGGCATTCTTACAGATAATTGATAAATGAGTCATGCAAATCGGAATGGTCTTTCTTGTCGTTTAACATATCCTAAAAAGACAGCTAAGTATCAATACATCAAGCATGCTCTAACACTAAGAAGATCCTTTGCTAATATGGGAGGATCCGGATTGGAAGAATGAGCTTTCTTGTCGAAGGATTCAGCATCATGTTCAAGTTGGTCTCGCACACAACCCTAAGAACAAAAAATTTATCAAAATTGATGCCATAAACTACCAAATATCGACTCCAGTAATATATGAACTTGTAAACGCTGTTCTCATTCTGAACTTTTTGTAAGTAGTAAGCAGCTCGTACGAAATCTCTGGTTTCGAGCATAGATTTACCCATTCGGAAAAACCTAGTGGAACAAGAGAACGAAGTTGAATGTCGTGTCTGAAAAGATTCTGTTCACATAGTCCGAGCAAGATGAATGCTACCGTTGTGTTACCCGTTGTTTTTTCGTAATCGTTCAACCATGATTCCGGGAGATGTACAATAATTTCATTAACCCTAGATAACTATCATCTATCCGCTCGACACTTCTAATCACAAACCATTTGACAGAATCAGTCAACATGCGTACTTCAGCCTCATCATGAAGCCACTGAAGGTCTTTCATGATTTCTTCAGGAACATATTCAGAAGGGGAGTCCTTCGACACTGAGAGCATGAGGGCATCCTCCATCTACAACAGCATGCTTATGATTTTAAGATCACATAGAATCAAAATAGAGGTAGAAAGACCACAAGTATCAGATGAGAGAAGAAGAAAAGCAATGCTCACCCTTTATTTCCAAAAAAAATAAAACATTTATGAAACTTATCAATATAACCGGTTCTTTTCAAAGTCACAACTGAAAGATATAAACAACTAATAAGGCAATAGGAGATCGGGAATATGTTATCTTAAGTTAAATAATGAAACCAAATTAAGAGAAAAAATCTGATATAACTGAATGACATCTTCACTGACTAAGGTCGTCTTCACTGAGCTCCGACTTGCCCCCAATATTCTCAGACTCATAATCTGGATCAGAATCGGAACTATAGAAATCAGATCTATCATGTCTCCTGAAGAATTTCACGGATTACAGAATTTGGAAAACAGTCTTACTTTGATCGTGATTTCAGCTTCACATCGTTTGGTGGATTTTTTGATTTTTGCTTGGGAGGCAAGCTGCAAAACTAGAATGAGCATTGTGATGATTTGAAGAAACTCACCCAGTTGTACTGGAAGCAATTGAATGCCGCTTTGGATTATGATTTAAACGAGATGAAGTTTTTATCTGACCGGCAGATGCTCCTAGTTTCTCTGCTAATATTCTAGCTGATACACCTCGAGATAAACGGATAGACGTTGAACTGAGAAATTAAAATAACTCAAAAGATTCAAGATTCTAAAACTCACGTTGATAGTCCTCCTTTCTTAGTCTTTGGTGTTCTACGATAGATGATTTCTTCTTCCCATTCTTCAGTGGTTGCTTCTTCTGTATCGAGTCCCTCGGAATGTCTTAAGGAATAACATATTGATAATCATGGAACTTGAAATTACCTTTCCAAGATATCGCCATCTCTTTCATGAGCAAAGAGCTCTTCATCCGAAACATGATCTTCCTCTCCATTGGCAAACCTGGCTAACCTACGAGAAGTTTGTGATTATATTTAAGGAGGAAAATGAAATACTTTTGTGGATTTCTGACGGACTTTGTTAATTTCCAAGCATTCACGTCAGGACTTCGGATATATTTTTGCAACTTTTTCAACTCATTGTCAGTTGTCTCTCTCATTTGAGTTTCATACTCTTCCATACTAAGAAGTCTTGGTTTGATAGGGAAAAGTTTTCTCCTGAAATGAACAATCAGCCTATCCCTGATACAAAATCAATACCAGATAGTAGAAAGAACGGAAGTTGTTTTAAAGCAAGCAGAGAACAACCACGATTTGGTTAGTTCATGAAAAACGAGAACACCTATCACGGCAAATGACACTTCAGGAACCTGATACGAGCTCGTCAAAGAAAAAACACCTGACTCAAATACTTACCTGACAGGAGAAATAAATGGCTACTGCAGCGATAAGCTGTAATGTCCATTGAGCAATGTCATGGGATCGCGCATCTGTTGGCGGGCCTTTTTTATAACAAATGGCAAAAGATATGAGGAGAGCAGCGATCTGAAATGAAGAACTATGAGACACATCTACTGTTCGAACATACAAAATAACCAGCAACATATTTCTGATATGACACCACGAGACTGGCAAAATTGCTCCATAAAAAGTGAAGAAGCCACAACGAGACGGACCATCCTCCGACTAAAATAGGAATACCGATGGTTTTCTGAAATATCAAGTAATGAGATTCAAAAAAAGGAATCAGTGATACCTTTGGAGCCACACGATAAACTAAGAAGGCAACAATTAAAACTGATGCTAATACACCCATAGAACATCCACTCGAGTAATAGAACAAGCTGTTCCTAACAAGACTTGACGAAAATAAGAACAGAGCGATTGAACCGATGAAAATAGCAACTCGGAAGTAGTTGACTTCTGAAAAAGAATAAACTTAATCTCGGTTTTCTCCATTATTCCGTACTGAATGTCTGAATATTGACGCTATACGGGACATTGGAATCTATTCCAATGTAAGTAGTATTGAATGGATATATTCTGTGATTTCTCCAAAACTGAATTTTCTTCCAATATCCGAAAAGTATGTTATACTGATGATACTCATCTAAAACGTCAGTGCAACTAGCTCCCTGAATCAACAAATTATGAAACGTCACGATAACCTCAGAACGTACCTGATATATATTACAGTCATTTTCATCAGTGAAGTTAGTTATCAACAACACATCAGAAAAAGCTCTTAGAGGGCTATACTCTTGTGCGTGATATACAAAAACATTCAAACTAGAATCAGCATCAGCATCTACATGGAACTGAACTTCGTCAAGTTCTAGGAACACAGCATATAGTTAGAAAAACAGTTGCCAAACTCACTTCGAGGCTTAGAAAGACATATGTCTTCTACTTCAACTGATGAGACAGTCAAGAAGATTGTTAGAAAATACAATAAAATCATACTTTGTTTACATAAATACTATTTTAAACCAAAGAACTACTATTGGAGTCTTTAAGAACCTGATATGTGTTAAGTAGAAAAAGTACACCTGTAACAAGACAGTTTAAAAAAACGAATAAACGCCATACGCAATACACCGTAAAATAGAAAATCGATACGCAATATTCAAAGACGTGGAGATAAAGATGAACAAGCTAGCAGAATGAGATAGCCTGTAGATTTCCTTATCTGATATCCCCAACTGCAAATCAATCAATGAGGCAAATCGACACTGCGCAGGTATTGTGTTCTTATCACGTGTCTTCAGTTTCTCTCCCCCCCCTCGTCTGTTATCTTTCGTTTACGATTATACTGGATGAACTTCACTCAAATTTTAAATAATTAAAACATTTATTACACTTTAGAATAAATATATTTGTATATATAATATGGACACATACATGTGTGGATCACCGAATCTTCATGAAATATACATGATATCAGGCACTATTTGGATCAGTTAAAAACTACATCGTTTGAAAAAACAAAACGCAAACAGCTGACAATGAGCAAATCAAATTAGTACGAAACTGAGACTGGTAACACGTAATTTATTAATGAGTTCTGGTCGCAGAAGATGACACAACTCTGGAGGAAGTAACAATTTCTTCTTCTTCTGATTCCTGTATTCAAATAAGTTATCATTGATCTGATTGACTGTTCTTACCGATACATATTCCTCCATTTCTTTATGGCCTGATGAGAACTGATTGCCCGAAGCGCGTCCAATTGAGAACTCGGCTACACTTTCTCCTCTTTCACGCTCTCGATGGTCATCGTGGAACCCGGAGGATACTTCTTTGATCGAAGACAAGTTCTGTAAACAGGAGATTAAGCGAGGCTACTAAAAAACATTGAGGATACGAATTCAATAGATTCGTTGGTTCGAATGCAACCGTTGTGTGGTTTAAGTTATAGTATCGTGTACCTTCTGATTAGCTGCTTTTGAAGAGAAGTCAGAGCCGTGAGCGAAACTAGATTCTCGTGCACTATCCATAGCATAAGAGGATTCTTCATTCATAGAAGAGTCTTTACCCTATAATTTTGGCATTGCTTTAAATATTCACATTTCCATCGTACCGCTAATGCCAAGTGCTGCAAAGTGTGCTCGGGTGGGTGCACAGTAAACTCAGATGTAGTAGTTACAGTATTCCCTGACGCATCAGTAGTGGTGGTAGTTGTAATTTCCTTGGTCGTTACATCGGTAATAACTTTACGTTCTATTTCTTCCTTGATAGTATACTCGCTAGATGCATTGGACATGCTATCGTACGAATCGTGAACACCTCCATTACCAAGATGTGCTCTAGGTATCCGAACAGCTGAAAAACAAACAAATAAGTAAAGGCAGTTAAAAATTTGAAGAAGGTTTGTATATGGTTGAGCAGGATATCATTCTTCTGATTTTCTATCAACAAGACAAAGTCAGCAAACCTCCAGCTTTAGCTATATCAAGCATGAGTTCAGCTGATGAATTTGATTCATTGAAATTTTCGCGTACATTTGTGTACGATTCTTCTTCTATTGCTTCGGAAAATTGTTCCGAACGTTTTTTGTTATTCATTTTTGCTATATCAGAATATTTTGTCATATTTTCTATTCCTGAAGATAGAAAACCTAATTCTCATTTTTCTAACTTCTTATGATTAGTATTGACAATATGTTTGAAAGAGAAATTAATTTACCTTCATCAAGATAGGAATTCAAACGAGCTACTTCCATACTCTGTGCCGTGTTACTTGCCATAGCAGCAGCTTCTCCTTGCTAGAAAATTATATAAATTATAATAATATATTTCCTTATTTTCTCACCTTCAGCTTAGCTCTTGGGATTCCGATGTCTGGATAATATTCGTGACCAGCACTCATACCAGAGAATTCGGCTCCGCTTTCAGATGAAGAAGATCCTTCAAGTGTTGACCATGGCCAAGCTCCTCCACGTCTAATTAAAATCAAATGTAAGTATAGAGAACATTTCAAGGTACCTGTATCCGAAAGCTCCAGCTCCAGCACCTCTTGCCTTGAAACAATGGCATTTAGTGCAAAGATATAACAGACAACAGAGGGCAAGAAGCAAGAAGAGAAGGGCCAGAAGAATAAGAAGTATCAATGAGGCATTAGAAGGAGCAACCTGAACAAAACAAATTATTGTGAAAGAGAATTAAGTTTCTTACAGCGCAGAACTCTCCAGACCAGCCATCGGTACATACGCAAGTTATGTTCTTAGTTTCAGCGTTGTGCACGCAATCTCCATGACTGTTACATAAATCACAGAGCAAAGCTCCGCAAACACGTCCAGGATCATCAGGGTTACCATCAATGTATCCATCAGGGCACTTACAGGTATAGCCGATAGCGCGATCAATACATTGTGCTACTCCTGAAACCGAATAGTAGTTAGAACAGTCAAACTAGATAATTCTCGTTTACCAGAACAGTTAGTTAAACCGAGAGCACATTCATCTACATCTCGAACATGCAAGCAGAGAGTATCATCAGACATTCCTAACATTGTTCTCTTCTCACTCTTTCTGCAAAAGAAGAAATATTCAAGATAGTGGAATTGATTCTAAACCTAATATCCATGAAACCTAAGTCACAAGCACATTCCGCTTGTTGCTCCATGTTTTTGCATGTGGTGTTTGTTGGGCAGAAATTGACATCACTACAGTAATCCAGAGTACAAAGTGAACCAGGAACGGATCCCATTGGAGAAGCATCAGTGTATGATGGTAAGCATTCACATTTGTACAGATGTTCGAGATCAATGCATCTAGCATTTTCTGAGCATTCATTGTCTTCTTTGCGTTCACATTCATTGAATCCGTTTGTTGGTAGACATTTCTTTCCTGGATCACTTGGGCTCAAGTCTCTGAATCCTGGTCCACATTCACATCTGTATGACTTTGGTCCAGTATCAACGCAACGAGCATGAGCGTGGCAATCATTCTAAGTGTTTTGATTACTTTCAAAAGTTTTTTTTAATGTTTCTTACTTGATAGCACGCCTTGTAGGGATCAGGCTGGTATTCATTCAAATACAAACCACTATCGCCGACCTCGTATCCATTTCTATCAACGATGTAACGAACAAGCTGGTAGTATGTGTCTGAAGGTATCCTAACAGCTCCCTTTCGGAAATGCACTGTGGTGTTGAAGAGAAGTCCGCTAGTCCAACTAGCATTGTTTTGTGATGGATTAGTGATATCATTAACTTCAGCAGATACAAAGGCGTTTTTAAGAGTTGTGTGAGGATAACATCCACCGATACCGTCTTCCAAATCGTGAACGTAGTTCTGAATGTGATTCATAGTGATGCGAATGATGTTTATAGTCTAACCTTGTATGTAGTGTCTAATGGATTACTGAAAGTGTCATTGTAGACGAGGTTGGTCTTCTCCTTTCTCATAACCCAGAGAGGTACGTTCCATGACTCTACTGCGCGACAAACATCAGATGATGATGCCCTCTTCATTCCAGTTGGACATCCGCACACGGATCCGGCAATGCAGATCTGAGAAATTTTGTTTTCAAGTCATAACTTTAAAGACTCACTTCTCCCAAGTTTGATTTACAACTCAATCCTCCACATTCGCCAATTGGCTCTGGTTCTTTACATGGGTTGAGGTTATCAGTGTCATCAGCAACTCTTAGAGATCCACCTCCTGAAGATTCAACAGAGGTTTCCACAAACTATTAATGAAAGTATATACCTATGGCTAAGTTGGTTCGTTGCAACGATCCCATCATCTGCTTCCATAGATCACACTGATCCACTGGAGCATTATTCAAAGTTTTCGTAGTTTGGACATCATATTTGAAAAGAAGTCCATCAGGCCAAGAACTGAAATGGTGGGATATGAATACGAGGAAGTGAGAGTATGAGTTTCACCTGTTTACTGTTTTCGGGTGAGTGATGTACTTCACTTTAGTAGCCACGTAGCGTGGAGCGTACGATGTGCTTCCGAAGGTGCGAGCAATGTCTTTCTAAATAGAAATTAATGTTTTAAAGCAACCCATATGAAGAAAAGCAAACCTGGAACTTGTCAACTACTTCAACATAAGGAGGACTAGAAGGAGATCCAAATTCGCTAGAGTAAAGAAGTGGTCTGCTGTCTCTAGAGATTACTCGGATTTGCATAGAAGTTTCCTCAACTGGTTGGCATCTTGAAGGAAATATATTATACTTAGAGAACGGCATAGTCTTCTTTACCTTCCTGTAGCAGATGATCTGCTTTCACCTGGACGGCAACCACAGTAACTTCCACTGATGCACACCTCTCCTCTAAGGATATCACAGTAAGCTCTTCCACACTGGACACCATCATGTTGTGGAGGTGGGGGAGTGTTGTGTGGTCTTTGGATGGTTATACGTTCTTCATGTTGTTCAACCTAGAAATATTATCATTTTTACGTTTATTCAATGTTTATTTACCTGGAATTCGACGCAAATACGTCCAGGCTCGCGTTGGTTAGGACTCTGATCGTAGAACCCAGTTTTGCAGGAACAAATGTAACCATCTTCAACATCCATACAATCAGCATTCCTATCACATGTGTTGAGATTTGGAGTGAGACATTCATTGAGACGGCAGATTCGGCCAGGATGTCCTGGTGGACCTTCGTCGCGATATGGAGCTTTGCATCTACAGTCATAGCCTCCAGCCAAATCGATACATTGAGCATGAGCATCACAATCATTAAGGTTTGATGATTCACATTCGTTGATAACGAAAGTACATTGTGTTCCAGGATTGGATGGACTGTCATCATGGTATCCTGAGCGGCAGCGACATTCATAGCCATTCTCTTTGTCAATACAGTCAGCAAAGCGAGAACAATGATTGAGAGATGGATTGGCACACTCATTAACGTTTTGAACACCTAAAACCTCAACTTACTAAAGAAAAAAACAGAAGTAAACATACATAATCTTCCTGGACGACTATGATCAGGAGAACGATCAATCGTGTTCATTGGGCATCGGCAAGTATATCCCTTAGGTCTATCTTCGCACATGGCCAAAGGATGACAATCGTTCATCGAGCGTACCAAACATTCGTTCACCATTTCAGCACAGATTCTTCCTGGACGACGGTTAGGATCAGGTGACTGATCCATATATCCGTCACGACACTTGCAAGTATACTTCTCAGAAGTTTGAGTTTCCAAGCAGATAGCAGCAGAATGACAGTCGTTTTGGCTGAAGAAATGCTTTTTTAACCTCTAAAACTGTTAAATGTTACCTTGGGTCCAGGCATACAGGCTGTGTAAGTTCACAGATTCTTCCTGGTTTGCTTCTGGTGTCGGGAGATCTATCAGCATATCCGGGAAGGCATTCACATGTGTATGTTTGTGCTCCTGTAGCTCGACAAACTCCAGCTGAATGACAGTCGTTACGGCTAGGATCTTGGCAAGGATGTCCTGAACGATTTCATAAAGTACAGAATTTTAGATTTTTATTATACTTGGTGGTGGGGTAGGAGGTGGTGGAGGCTCGCAAACTCTTCCCTTACTGCTAGAATCAGGAGATCTATCAATATATCCACGAGCGCATTCACAACGATATCCTCTAGGTTCATCGTAGCAAATGGCGTTTCTGCTACATGTGTTCAACTTAGGATCACGGCAAGCATTATCTATAACCCAACCATTAAAACCATAAGTGAAAATTAGAACGTACTTCTAACACAGACTCGTCCCTTATCGTTACCAGGAGACTGGTCGATATAGCCTTGAATACAAGAGCAACGATAGTTATTTCCTCCGAGTGGTTCGCATACAGCAGCAGAGCTGCATTGATGATCTGGTGGACAAACTTCTGGAACTCCACAAACACGGCCTGGTTGAGTTGCCATGTTTGGTGATCTATCGATGTATCCATCTCTGCATTCACAAGTATATCCTTCTTCCAAATCTCGGCAGTCGGCTTGTGCGCTGCAGGTATGGCGACCAGTTTTGCATTCATCGACCTTAAAGAAAATTGTTTTTGAAGTTGGAGGAAAATTGTTTTATACCAGCTTGATACAAACACGACCAGGTCGTCGCATCCGATCAGGTGAGCGATCTAAGCTTCCAGCTGGACATTCACAACTATATGACTGTTCGTTATCGTGACAAAGAGCATTTGGATCACAGTCATTCTTTCCTGTCTCACACTCGTTTTCGACTGGAAATTAAATCATTATGAGCCGAAGCAAATAAATGTCCTTACATATCAAACAGACACGTCCAGGGAACGAATGATTAGGACTGATATCCTTAGAGTTTGTTGGGCATTGGCATTCATAAGAATCAGTAGTATCCCGACAGCGAGCATTGCGATCGCAGTCATTCAATCGTTGATCTGCACATTCATTAACAACTGGAAAAATTAAGATATGAAACCGAGCGAAATAAGTAATGATTACGTTGCTTGCAAGATCTGCCAGACAAATCAGAAGATGGAGAAACATCAATGAAGCCGGCTTTACATTCACAGCGATAACCTTCTTCCTCATCGATACAACTGAAAACAAATAGCTTAACAAGATATTGGGGTTCATAACGTACCGAGCATTACGGTCACAACTATTCAAGCTAGGCTGCGAGCATTCATTGACAAGTTGTTGGCAAATTCTTCCTGGTCTACCGCGAGATCTATCCATAAAGCCTTGATGACATTTGCATTCATAGCCTTCTTCGAGATCAATACATTGAGCATGTTGATGACAATCATTAAGATGGGGGAATTGACATTCATTGACCACTGTAACCGATTGTATAATTAAGATCAAAGAATTGAAAAATATACTTGGTTTGCACATTCGTCCTGGTTTCTGACTACCTCCAACATCTTTGTAGTCCTGCTTGCATCGGCATGTGTATCCTTGCATTTGGTCAATACAATCAGCAGCGGTGTGACAATCATTAAGATGAGGGAACTCGCACTCATTGATAACTGCAATAATTACAAGGTTGAAAACTCGAAAATTGAAGCTTAAGAAATACCTGAGCAGACTCCGCTTCCGTCTCTTTGGTAATTGAAGGGACATGTACATTTTGGCTCTCCTGCCATCAAACGACAGACCTCATTCAAATGAGCTTTGCATTGGTTTGGACCATCAACACGGCACTCTGGTGGTGGTGGAGTTGGTCTAGGTACACAGAGACGACCAGGGTGTGAAGATCGGTTAGGAGACTCGTCCAAGAAATTGGCACGACATTGGCAAGTATAACCGTGAGGAAGGTCTTGACAATCAGCATCTTGATGGCAATCATGACGACGAAGACGGCATTCATCTACAAGAGCAGGTCGGCAGATACGCCCAGCTCTACGAATTGGATCTGGCGATTCGTCTACGAAATCGTCACGGCATCTGAGAGAAAAATTATATAATATCAAACAAGTGAAGAAGCTAACCGGCATTTGTATGATTCAGGAGTGTCCATACAATCAGCATTTGGAGAACAATCGTCTCTGTTGGTGGCACATTCATCGATACCTATAGTTAAAATCATGTATTGAGTATAGAGTAGAGAATACTAACGTTGAAGACAGCGTCTACCGGGTCTTCTAACTGGGTCTGTAGATAAGTCAATATAATCACGGGGGCAGGAACATGTATAGCTGTCTTCAGTATCGGTACAGATGGCCTCTCTAGAACAGTCGTTCTGGCCAGTTGCACACTCATCAATCACTGTTAAAAAATATTTTATAATCATCAAGCAGTATTTAACATACGTCTTTTGCATTTGCGTCCTGGTCTGTTTTGTCTATCGTATGATACATCCAAATAACTCATAGCACATCTACAGTTGAAGGAATCTGGAGTATCCTCACATATTCCACCGTCACGGGCGCAATCATGGGTACCAAGAGCACACTCGTTTTGTACTAGAAGTTTATGATATTGTATTGAGCTCAAAAGATGAAAAAAGCTTACATGGTTTACAGAGTCTTCCAGGCTTAGCACTAGGACTTGGGGAGATATCAAGGAAGCCTTGACGACATCTGAGAATGAGTTTAAAACTAGTAACTTAGATATTGACAAACCTGCACATGTATCCATCGTCTGTATCAGTACATATAGCTCTGTCAGGTGAATCGCAATCATTCAAAGATGGATTATCACATTCAGGTATTACAGGAATGCAAACTCTTCCAGGTCTTGAAAGGCTTGGTGACTTATCCTTGAAACCTGGAGGGCAAGCGCAAGAATAGTCATCATCTCCTAAATAGATTATTCAACTTCTTTCTGTAAAGAGGAACTTACCAATTTGAATACAACGAGCATTTCTGTCGCAATCGTTATTGCCGATTGTACAACGCTCATTGGTTTTAATTTTCTTACAGTTTCTTCCAGGGTTTCGGAACTCATCCATGTCAGTGAAACCAGAGCGGCAAACACAAGTGTAAGCTTCTACAGTATCAATACACATAGCGTTACGGTCACAGTTGTTCAATCGAGGAGAGGCGCATTCGTTCACCAGCTCTTGACAGACCATTCCGGGGAAGCTGAGATAGAATAGTCAGTTCGTACTTATAATGGCTTCATACCTTTGTGGGTTTGGTGAGTAATCAACGAAACCAGGCTTACATCTGCAAACATATCCTGTTTGGGTATCCGTACAGAGAGCGTTAGGAGAGCACCTGAAATTTATAATGAGCCTTAGATTTTTACTTTTTTTTCTTACTTATGAGAGCCATCCAAACATTCGTTTTGCTCAGCAACACAAAGTCGTCCAGGCTTATGAACTGGATCAGGGGATTGATCAAAGAATCCACTGCGACAGGAACATAAGTAACCATCATCGGTATCAGTACAGATAGCGGAACGATCACAGTCATTTTCGTTGGTTAAACATTCGTTTTTCACTGAACATTAAGGTTGAATTGTAATCCTATTAAACGATAACGTACAGCAGATTCCAGTGATTGGATGACGCTTCTCATTACGATCACATTGACAGGTGTAGAAGCCATTGTGAGGAAGACATTTCTCACGTTTGCGAGCATCACAAGAGAATGGTTGATTAGGTACACAAGACCCTGGATAACTACATTGTCCTGTTTGACGATTGCGCTCGAAGCCTGTTTGGCACTCACAAGACCATCTTCCTGATCTAAAGCGGAAAGTGAGATATGAACTGACTATTGAACTTACAGATCACGCATGCATTGCTCGTTAGGACTGCATCGAATACCGCCATTATGACAATCACCGTCATGCTGAGGAGCAATATGAACTTCCTTGATCGAAACTAAAATATTGAACGTTTCAAAAGAAAATGTGTTAATAGTCTACCGCAGAAACCACTCTTGTAGTCACGGGAATATCCTTCTGGACAAGCACAACGGAAGTTGTTGTATGGTGTAATCTGGCATTCTTCTGGGAAAATGCAAGAGGTGGTCAGTTGAGGATTACAGAGAGATCCTCCACAAACTCTGCTGATAGGATGGCGTTGGAAACTATCTGGGCATACGCAGTGAGTTCTGAAATAAATATCTTACTCATCATTCTCAAAACACTATGTACTACCTTCCTCCTTCTTCAACGCAAAGCTCATTCAATGTACGGTCACATCCTGTCTGAGTTCGTGGATTACAAGTTCCAGTGGGGTGGCTTTCCATACGTACTGGAGATGGGCAGGCTGCTTTTTGGATCATCGATCTCAATCTTGTGTCAAGATCCTGGAAAGGTTTGTTACTACTTTAATTTTTAATAAAAGCATACCTTGAACTTATCAACATAGAACCATCTGTTAGGTGATCCAGCAATAGTTTCCAATTCACTAGCAAGAACGTGATCGGTAACACCAATAGAGAAGGTGTTGATGTGCAATTTACGAGCAGATTCAGCTGGACCAGATACATTGTCCTGAGATCTTCCATCGGTAAGAATGATAGCAACTCTATAAAAATTTTAAATGAAACAAATCCATTATTATCTTTTCTACCTTGAGATGTCAGGTCTCTCTGGACGAGCTCCTCTACGCTCACTGAATCCTTCTTGAACCATATGTTGAATAGCGGCACCGGTTCTGGTGAGTCCAGTCAAGTATTTAGTTTCAGTAATAGCACGCAATACAGAAACCTATATGGAACATTAGAGCAGTAGACTGTACAACACCAACCTTATCAGCGTATTGTCCAAGATCAAACTCATGCCGAATTTGATCAGAATATTGAATAAGACCAACTCGAGTCTGATCAGGTCCGATCTCGAAAAGCTCAACGAACTCTCTGATGAAGCGCAGAACTTCGTGTTTGAACACGTATGAGCCAATAGATCCAGATCCATCAATCAAGAACATCAGATCAGTCTTCTGTTTAGGACAAGTTGTTTGAACAGTGCAAACTCTTCCAGGTGGTAAATTAGCAGAAGAGGAGACGTCAACGAAACCAGCATAACACTAAATTGCTTTGGTTTCACAAAAGACGATATGACGACATGACAAACCTGGCAAGCATAGCCATCAGGTAAATCGATGCAATCAGCATTCTCATCACAAGTGTTGAGAGTATCAGCAGCACACTCATTGCTTGCTGAAATATAAATTATATAATTAAGTCAAATTCCCCTCAAGTTGTCATGATTCATATACATATGTAGATGAGAGAGTTCATGGGTATTTTGAAAATAGATCTAGAATAGATAATTATATCCTATGTTCATCAAAAATTGTGTTCTTCCTTTCTTAGATGACGAGGGATAATGATGGCATGTTGTCACTAAGGTGAATTTCATAGAGTCCCTATATTACATGGCTTAGAAATACCAGTTTCACATTCGATTTCGATGAACAAATATAGACAAATTAAAATGATGACTACGTTCTAGTCGGATTTCGCTGGATCATGAAATGCTTTAGACAACCGTTTTCTTTGTACGAACACAAAAAAAACGATTAAAGCAATATAAGTTCCTTCTAAGCTCAAAACTTTTCCAATAGAATTAAAAAGTTCGAAAAAAAAAACCTATTCAACTAAAAGTGTATATGTTGTCGAAATCGTATGTAACAAGTGATGCATGTCTAATACCACAAAAGTGAAAGAATAAAAAAACGGCTTACCACTAGCGCACTTTCGTCCTGGTCTGAGCCCATGACTTGAAGAGACATCGACGTAACCATCTAAGCATTGACAAGCATAACCATTTGTGGCATCGATACAACGAGCGAATGGAGAACATCCGTTGTCAGCGGTGGCACATTCATTTACAACTAAAGAGATAGAAAGGAAGTGTTAATGCCTTATAAGTTTATGAAAACTTACGTTCTCTGCATTTGCGACCAGGGTTGATATCAGGATCGGCAGAAACATCAATGTATCCAGGACGGCATTGGCATTTGTAAGTGTTGAACAGATTGAGGCAAACAGCATTGGTATCGCATTCGTTTTGACGTGAGCAAGCCGAATATACTTGAAAAAATAAAATAAGTTTCGATAAAAGAGAAAATTAATACATTTGCATTTGCCATCTGTGAATCGGAAAGAGTTCTCCGAACACTGACATGTGTGTTGTCCTCTTTGTCCCTTGTCAGTACAGACTTCATTAGTGTCACAGGCAGGATGCTGAAGAAAGTAATGAGAATGATAAACTATAGAATTATGATACCTTTGGATCACATCCATCCAATTGTAAAGAGTTAGACAGTTCGTGGTCCAACTTCTCAACGGGCTTAGTACATACTCTTCCAGGGTAGTGGGTAGCGTTTGGAGATGTATCAAGATATCCTGGTCTGCATGAGCAGATATATCCTTCTTTAGCATCTTCACAGAAAGCATTCTTCGAGCAATCATTCAATTGAGAGTTAGCACACTCATTGATAGCTTCAATACAGTTACGACCTGGGAGTCGATTGTATGAAGCGGAGATATCGGCAAATCCTGGTCTACACTGGCAAGTGTATGAATCTTCAGTATCAGTGCAGATAGCATTTTCATGGCAATCTACACCATACTTTGCTCTATGTGAACACTCATTTACACGAGCTTTGCAAATTCTTCCTGGCTGTCCGGATGGAGAGATATCTGCGTACCCAGAGCGACATTGGCAAGTATATCCCTCAGCCTAAAAATTCCAGATGAATGGAATTAAGAACGATATTCTTACCAAATCCAAACACTCAGAGTTTTCACCGCAAGTATTCAAATTTTTGGATTTGCATTCATCGATAGCTAAGCATCTACAACATCAAACTTAGAGAAAGGGAACTCCTTTGAATCGATTACCTTCCGTCTGGTAAACGGGAATATCCATTTGCGCATCTACATTTGTATGTGTTGTTCACAAATATGCAAACCTGAAAAAAACCATTTGTAATCACATCAACTTTGAAGGACTTTTGATTTCAATACAATCTTAGCTATTCTTACCTCGCTTTTACTTTGATCACAACTCATTGGATCTGACACATCGCACTCCGGGGGGTCAGGAATCATAGCTAAAAGGAGAAAAATGAACAATAAGATTAATTCAAATAAAACTCATAAAAGAGAAAATATGTCAAATTCAATTACCTCGAACACAAACACGTCCGGGATTACGAGAAGAGTCTGGGCTTTCATCTCTGTAGTTATCATGACAACGGCAAGTGTAACTGTCAGCAGTATCAATGCAAGATGCATGTCTGGAGCAATCATGCTTTCCTACAACATGAAATTCAGTATTAATTCAAATTATAATTATCCCTACCAAGAGCACATTCATTGATAACAGCACGACATACTCTTCCAGCAGGGAGACCATGCTGTCTGGAGATATCTACGTAACCACTAACACATTGGCAAACTGGGCCTGAAAACAACTAGTTGAACATGTTACAGTGTTCGAAATCTGACCGATTGGAGTTTCTCGGCATTCAGCTTCAGATGCACAATCTACATTATGGCACATGTTGGCTGAAAAAGAAATCATGAGCTAGCTTCTACACTTCATTTGTTATATTTTTTTTTGTTTCGATTATCCCTCTATATGCGTTAGCACTATGCCACTGCTAGGAGCTTTCAAAGCCCCTTTGCGTGTCCTTCTTTGAAACAGATACGGCTTAGCCGTAAGGATTAAAGCCATTTAAGGAATACATGGGCAGAACAATTAGTTACAGTTGATCAAATATTAAACTCATCCAAAAAAGTATCTTACCTCGCTTACAGATGCGTCCTGGACTACGAAGAGAATCGCGACTAGCATCTAGCCAACCAGAATTACATCTATAACATTATGATTATATAATACTGATAGAATAATTATTCAAATCATACTTGCAAGTATATCCTTCTTGTGTATCCACACATGCAGCATTAGGATCACATGTATGAGTTCCAAGAGCACATTCATTAACAACTGAAATCAAATGGTTGTCATCATCATCCATCTATTCCTTCTTTTTCATTATTTCTTCATTTATTATAAATATATTCATTGGAACTTTGTTGAAATTATTGAACAAGGTAATTTTATGCGCCAGCCGCATTATCCTCCTTCACTACGCTTCCCCCCCCCCTCTCTTCCTTTCACTTACTCAACCTGTCTTGCCTCAATAATTGTAGTGTCGCAGACAAAAATTTTTCATCCTTCATCGAAGTATTACCTTCTTGTATTTACAAACCAATACGCATTAAACCATTTTCACTTGTTTCCCTTCGCCTCTTCCCTCTATCCCCTTCACTATGTATTTCTGACCGGGATACAAAAGACATTAAAATATGTCATATGAGCACAGGAATCGTCGCCTACCCTAATCAAGATTACGATTTTCAATTTCAAGATCTTCATGCGATTGCAGTAGAACACACAGAATTTCAATCCTCAATCTTATTTTGAATTTTGAAAAGATCTTCGTCCCATATATATCTTATATGAACAAATGCATATCTAATTCATGAAAAGATTAGAATTATGAGAAATTTTCAAAAAAAAAGAAAGAAGAGAGAGAGAGAGAGAGAGCGAGAAGGACCGACAAAGGAGGAAGAGATACCGACCATAAAAAAATGACTTAAAGCATTCAAGAAATGATCATTAATTGTTCTTGTCTGATCTATCATAATCATTCAAGATCAGGTTTTTTTTGAACCTATGAGTCAAGACATTCATAATATTCGTGGACCTTCCATTAAACGCATAGTGTTCTAATTAAACAGAGACGAAAAAGGCCTGATGTACAGGACTTGTTTCAACTCGATTATTTTGAGGGGGGGGGGGGAGGATGTGGGAGGATTGGGTATGGAGAAAGGCGCACTTTAGGGTGGAACTTCCTTTATTTCAAAAGAAACCCATATAATGATCTTATTGCCCCACACACGAATTGAATTAGAAGAACTTTGAAGTCGATGAGAAAAAAAAACCGAAAGGGGGATGAATGAGGAAGAGGAGGAAAAGGTGTCGAACAAGCGTTTTCATACAACACTATTGATTTCAACTATTTTTTTTTGTTCTTATAAAATAAACATTCTGTTTAAAACTACCAGTTGTATCTTAAGAAGCACTTCTGTGTGCTAAAGTTGCACAAGGCCATAGTTGCGGTTAGCAATAGTAATTCACAGGCCAATGTTCCAAGGCCGTGAAGCGCAAGCAAAAGTACAGTCTGGCAGAATGTTTCTCCTACTCAGTATGGCTTCTTGACCCAGAAGTTGAATCATTTTTTCCCACATATGAATCTAGAGTCATATATAAAAGAACGAGACGAAGATGAGAGGATTTTCATGGAAAAACCAACAGTTATTGATGATTTTTCCTTTTTCTCCAAATTTCTTAGCCATGTTTGGGAGAGGAGGAGGAGGAGAGGGGGGAGTATAAGGAAGAGGTGTATTTGCATCGAAAACGAGGAACACTCGAACGTTTCGATTGTCTTGTATACAGAAATAAATAATATGATGTTCAATGACAAATTAAATCTATTGTAAAATGGTCATTTGAATAGCCAAAAATGGAGGAAAAAAAACATTTTCAATAACATCACTTAGGAGGATCATTTAACCATTTCGTTTGTTGCCATTCTGCTTCTTCACATTCAAAAACCAACATTCATCATTAATACATAGTGATAATATGTATTTATGTAATAAGTGTTTTTGTGAAGCTAGTGAATTCAATGGAACTTCCTCTCTCAACGAGCTTTTCTTTGGTCGTCGAAGTAGGGTCAGAGGATGACGACCGGTCTTCTGTACATATATAACGACCAGAAAATCAACTCCTATGACTAACTATTATTCATTCCAAAGTTCTCTAGTTTATCCTCTACTCAAGAAATGAAGGGGAAAAGAAGAGAAAATGTTCTCAAATGGTCACATCAAAGGCGAAGAAGAAGAAAAAACTTTTACTGTTCACCATTGTATAGGAGAAGCTTAGCCATCAAAACAAGCTCAAAGCTTTGATGGTAAGAATGAACAATGTAGTGAAAGCTTTAAAGTTATCCAGCTAGAAACTTTCTTCATCATCAAAAAACATTTTTTTTTCTCTTTCAAAAGTTTATATGATGAAATTAAAGTGCTGGTTTCACATTATTCTCATCTCTCATCCACCCCCCCCACCTTTCCATTAACTATTGGATGGACAAGAAAAAAAAGGAAGGGGGAAATTAGTCATTTCAATCACACATCGCACCAGAGCCAATTTCTTAACAAACTGATAGATTGATATGTAGATGCGTCTCTATTGGGGGATACCTTGACCTCGTATCAAAACGGAAAAAAACTGGCCGGACATGTACGCGCCTTTTTAGGACATTCAAGGGGCGTTAAGAGAAAAGAAATGTTGATTGTGACGAGAGTTATCTTCTAACAAGAAAAAGGACGGAACACAATACACAAAGCTTGTAGGGGTCAGTAATCATCTAACGCAGTCATTAAACTCGAATGATAACTTTCTTTGACAGATATATCAGACCGCAAGCAAAAGCTTAAGCTAATTATCTTCGAAGAGAAATGAAGATAGAGAGAGAGGAAGAGAGAAAGAGAGAGAGAGGAAGAGAAAGAGAAATTATTTTTAAAACATCAACATCAGCAATAGCAATTAGATGCTTTGAGAATGGAATTAAGCTCCAACAAATTAGAACAAATAAGGTATATGATAAATGATCTTTGAATTTAAGATAAAAAAGAAAAAAAAACTAAAAATAACTGACCTCTAATGCATTTACGTCCGGGAAATCGTTTGTCAGATGAAATGTCTAAAAATCCTTTAGGGCAATGACACTGAAAGTATCCAGGTTGCTCTGAGACACATTCCGCTACAGAATCACAGTCGTGTAACGAATAATCTTGACAAGGATTTGATCCTGTAACATAATATAATCAGTTAAGCATATAATAAGTTTAATGGAAGCTTTAAAATCATTAAGCTTTAACTGAATTGAAGCTTGAGTATGTACCCCGCATGAGGGAAATGCGGGAAAAATAAAAAAAACTTATATGTAAAACGCAATATGATAAAAGCATTAAAATAATATAACATATAGTTAAGCTATAACCTTACTTCTACTACAAGCACAATGCTTTGCATGATCTGAAGTATGAATGAATAAGAAATTTGCTTACCAAGAGCTGTACTGAGCCCGATTAACAGGCTACAGCCTGCCAACAGGCGGAGTAACATTTGATTTAGTACTTTATAAGTATGATGTCAAATATATAGTTGATATCAGTAATAATTAGTGCAATTTTGATGATATTAAAATATATATATGGCACTACCTACAACAGGCTGCTATTCACGACCCAGCCTTTAGGGGCTGTCTGAACACAAGAGGCGTGGCTGAAGTCAGTACGCAATCTCCTTTCAACGAATTCAATAGCCATCTCTCTATTTCTCTCTAGTTCATGCTTTCTCTAATATATTTCTTGGTAGATGTTGTGAAATATCCGAATCTTCAAGTTATTAGCAAGGAAATAGCATCGAGAGACCCGTTCACTCACTTTTACCTCAATCATCTAAACCAATCTCGTAAGCGAGCATGTACAACAACAACAATCGTTTAGCATAGTTCATGTCGCTCTCGATTCTAACCTTCAATCATCGGATATGGCAAACAGTAAACTCGCATCATTAGTCTTTCGGAAACATTTTTTTCCTCATTCTTCAAAGGTACCTCTCTCTCTCTATCACTCTCTCTCGCCCTTTTTTCTTTTTTTTTATTTTCTGAATAAACGTCTGGTACTGTAAAAGCTATTTTGCATGAGGAGAAACCGGCTGATTGTATCCAAACAAGAGTAATGACAACGAAACCCAATTGTCACAAGAAATATATGACCGCAGGTTTCAAAAATTTGAGGAGAAGCTTCACTGCTACTTTCACTCCATTCATATATCTCTCTCTCTACATCTCCATCACTCTCTCACTCTTCTTCACCTTCAGCTCTACAGGATGCATATCAAGTAAGCTGTCATGACAGCAGATTGAAGAAATTTTGAAATTTTGAATTAAATGAAAAGTCTAACCTGTTTTTTTGGTACAATTCGTTCCTGGATTAATTGGATTCAGATCAACGTAGTCATCTTTACAGATGCAAGCTACATTGCCAGTATTGGTAGAGATGCATTGTGATGTTTCAAGATTGCAATTCTTACAATCAACGGACACTATAAAAAAAGGAAATTATTTGAAATTATTCAGAATCAGATGCTTTCACGTGTACAACAGCTGATGTTGCTAACTTTATCCAGTTTAAAGCTATTTTTTATATCTTTCATTTTAGAAATACAAGTTGCATCGCTGTCTCTCTCTTCATTTACTATCAGAAGATCATTATATCTATCTTTTCTTTTTCAATTGAATGTGTTCGTTCTTGACATCTCTCTACGCTTGATCATCATGTGTGTAGGCTTCATGATTAATCAGTCTCCGGGACAGGCACGGGCGTTGCTGACCTGCATGAAGTCGTTGACCGACCAGATTGAGCGATTCAACCCCGCCCAAGGCTAAGAAGAATGCTTTCGATAAGTAACTTATACAGTAAAGTAAGTGATGTGACAATCATTAATATTCTCGATGATCATCATGTACTATACAAAGGAAAGCTTAGGATATCTTACGCGATCGAACATCTCATCTTATCACAGCTCCATATTCAGAACAAGATGTTGTGTTTGGCTTACATGAAGCTCAATCCGCTTCCTTCATCAATCCGAACTAAGCTAATGACTGTTTTATAGAAGCTCATAATTTAAATTAATGTTTTCTCTCTTAATTCTTTTGCATCTATGAACGTAAAAACAAAAAACCCATTTGAACTGTGATCATTAAGCGCACCGAACATTAGACAGAGTGGATAGGACAAAGTGGAGTCAAGTTCTGCTATCATTTCTTTGACCTCTAAAGAACACACAAAGAAATTACGAAATCCCCTCTCAACCACCTTAAATAAATGTCATCGTGCATAGAATTAATCTAATTGGGGTTCTTATGAATGTTTCCTCTCAAAACAGACGATGCTATACTCTCTAACGATTATTATAACGCATCACTGCTGCATAGTATTGATAGTTATAGCCCAACACCCGATATCTATCGTCTTTTGATTTAAAAACTGGAAGCTGAACTCACTTTGAATACAGAGACGTCCCCGTTTTTCCGGAACTGGGGAGCCATCCAGATAACCCAGAGGACATCGACATCGATAGCCAACAGAATCATCGTAGCATATAGCTGCAGGGTCGCAATCGTGCAGACCTTTTTTGCATTCATTAACTCCTTAATCATATCATTTGATGATTAATATAGTTTGTTGATGTGATTACTTGCGGTACAGTTCCTTCCAGGCTTGCGACTACCTTCAGTTGAAATGTCAACGTCAACGAACTCAGAATTACATCGACAAGTATAACCCGAAGGACGATCTATACATTTGGCGTTTGGATGACAATCATTCAATGAAGCATCAGCGCATTCATTTATTACTGAAGAATTGAATGTTTCTAAATGTTGAAGAAAAACAGAATGTAACATACATCTTAAGCATTTGCGTCCCGGATTCTTAACAGGATCATTTGAAACATCAAGATAGCCTTCCTTGCATAAGCATTCATATGATAGAGTACTATCAATACATATAGCTGACTCATTGCAATCATTCAATGTCTTATTTAGACATTCATTAATTAAACCTCAAACATCATGATTGATTCATCAACTTCTAACTTCAATCACTATACCTATACACGCTCCATTAACTAAACTACTTCCAGCTTCACACCCACAACGATAAACACCATCTGGATTAACCAAACAAGCTGTATGATTACCTAAAAACATGGAAGTAACTACTATAATTATAAAATGTACAAAAACCTGAACATGAAAAATCATTCTTAGGATCACATTCATCATCACTTATAAGCTCATCATCACTAATGAACATGTATGGAACAGTAACATTTCCAGCTTCAAAATACAATGCAGAAGCTGAATCGATAGTCTGTGTTGTTTTCTTCAATTGATATAATGATTATGCAAATTGATTGCTTACAACTACCTGAACCTTGATCGGTGGTGCTCTTCGTATTTCAGGTAACTCCTTTGTTACAGAAGTGGATTGAACTGAAAATCGAGATTACGGTTGTTTATGGAACGCAGAATCATACTTTCAAATTGTCTTTTCAAGTTTAATCTGTTCTCTGAACAGTTAGCAAGTGGATTTTCAAAATATTTGTTCATCAGTTCTAATGGGATGCATTTGGTTGAGCCTAATGGCCGTACCGTTCCCATCTTGCAGACACATCGAGATGCTCCAGCAACAACCTATTAAGGAAAAATAAATAGAATAACATGAAGATGTTGATTACAATGCAAATTTGTCCTAAATCACTCAGACATTCATTCTTTCCTTCACATAACTGTATTTCTCCCATTAATAACGTATTTCCTCCATTTCGTCTTTGATCTCCATTTGGGCAAAAAGCTGATGCTTAAATAAAACAAGTTGAACACTCTTAACAATAATTGCATTAAGAAAGCAACCAACTAATTTTCAGTAAAACATGAAAAAAAATAAAATGAAAGGTCTGAATGCGCGTACGTGGAAATTAGCATATTCAAACGTTGATTAGCATAATGACCACGTGAGCGAGAAAAAGACCTTTGACATCAGAAAACAAACATTTTCGTTTTAAATATGACAATATCATTAAGAAGGAAATAGAATAAGAAATTTAATAAGAAGAAACCTGTTGTTGGAGTTTCAGAATTCAGAAGCTCATCAGAGCCATCTTCACAATCCCAAGTGCCATCACCAATGTGTTTGTTATGAACACATCGTACTCTTCCACACTCACAGGTTAACTGCGATGTTGTACATTCTGAATATGGAAATATATTATATTGTAAAATATATATAATAGTAATTCAGATGAAAGCAGAATGTCAAACATCAAACCAACCTTCATCACTTCCATCAGAACAGTCTAATATCCCATTTTGAAATTTCGATTGTGCTATACATCCTGAACCATCGTTACAAGGGAAGTATCCTTGTGCACATGCTGAATATATTAAGTTAATGACAACCAACAATTCCTTCATCTGAATTACGTTCATCACTTTTATCCAAACAATCTATTCGGCCGTCTTGAAACTTGACTGGCTCAATGCAAGCTGACCTATCTCGACAAACAAAGAAATGAGATGGGCAGCCTTAAAAAGTTTCCAATTGCTATATCCTTTTAATACGAAACGAACCTTCATCTGATCCAGAGAAACAATCAATTTTACCGTCTCGAACAGATTTTTTTGAAACACACCGAGGAGCACCGAATTTACAATCAAACTGCCATGGCAAGCATTCTGAAATCATAAAATTACAGTTGAAGTTCCCGAGATCGTTGTTCTGCTGTATTGCAAACAACTTGCTACAGTCTAGCTTGTCAATTATCCCAAGAAGTTTTTATAACGTTTTTTGATGTAAAATTCAAAATATTACTATTTGACACGCTTGGCCATCCATGAGAAGATACAATTGCGGTCAGTTAACTGGTTTTGATTATCTCCGTCAACTGGTCTCAACAAAACCGAGGTAAGAACAGATTGGCAAGAGTGAAGACCTTTAGAAACCATTAAAAATGCTCATTTGTTCATCTAGCACATCAGCCGACATACAGTCATGTTTCCCGAAAAAGAGTTTCGGCAGCAGCTTGCGTGTACGTAAACCTCGAGGCTTCATTGTTAAGATTGTCGAAGAAACGGACAGAAAACGACAATGACCAGGATATGTTTGAATAAATAATATCTCACGTTTCTTATGAAAACATTCCTTTTAGCACTTCATCTGCTACCTGCCGTAAATTCTTTGTCTAATACCATAGACAAACAAATAACGAATATGGCAATGTTCAAGAAACAAACTACAGACTTGAAAGTTGCTCGAATTCAGAATCTGGCAATGACTTCAGCACTATACATACAGTAGTATGTAGCTGAGAAAATGATGAAGATGATTATTATAATATACTATTCATATCAATATCTTCTATCGCACCTATAGTTGACCATGCACAACCGCTCTGCTAGTCTACACCTGTGATGGAATGAAAGTCCCTCGAATACGTGTGAAAGTACGTGAACTATTGTTTCTCATTTCAATGCCATTCACAAACATTTACATGTTTGATTGCAATCGAATTAAGAGTAACGAAAAAAAACAATGATAAACAGCCATTAAAACCCATCATCTTCACATTGAAATGAGCGTTTTTCTATTGGTTGTGGTAAAAAGTAAAACCGATTTCCCACACATACACACCGGATTGTTGAGCTGACTAAGCTCTTATGGGTGAGATTCGTAAAAGCGCCAATCAAAAACCGACTGACCTTGATTGACGTTCAAAACTTTAATGTCTTTGACAAAACCTCCAAATCTTATAGATTAGCATTTAAAGAAAATTAAAATACATTAAATGTCACTAAGAATTATAAAAATGAAACTTCATTTTTCTACATAAATCATTGGACACTTTCCTTCCTTTCCTTATATGGCTAAAGAAGTTTCAATTCTATATAATTCCATCAACATGAAACGTCTTTTTTGCTTTCTCGTCAAATATAATTCCGCCAAATCCTCATTCACATTTAATTGCTCAAATTGCATTTGATTCATAAAGCGATTTTCAGATGTTTTTTTGTCTCCGTTTAGCTCTTCTTCCCATTCTTCCTACCTTTCGCACTCCCTCTCTCTACCTCCCTGTGTACATTTAGGTTTGACAGAGACGCAACAGAATACATGTTTGACATCAAACGTCTGTTCCCTTACTCATGTTCTTTTACAAGAATATCTGTTTCATAAACAATACTAAGAGAGAACCAGAAGAAGCTCACTTATGATTTTCAGATTCCTTTTCATTTGCAGCCTTCTTTAGGTAGCTTATAGCATAATTATGTAATAAGTACCTGTACTTTCTCCAGTTTCTACCCAAGTATTCGAACATGACAACCTTCAAGCTGTACAGATTGCTTATAAAATTGCTTTGCGAGTGTGAAGACATATAATTGAAAGAGAAATGAGGACTGCAGCCAAAAAAAAGTGTGAACAAGCTTCTACTTAACAATCAAATTGTATGATTCTTAACGAAAAGCTGGTAATATATTTTTCTCAAAATATATATATTTGTTTGAAACATCAAACATACTTTTGCCAACATTTCTCATTTCGCAGTAATTAACTTGTCACTCAATAATAGTAGGAGAGGTGGTTTAACTAGGGCATAACCAGTTGTCTAACTGACCAGCCTTTCCTCAAAAATCGAATAAACTTCAAATATGCTGATTATTCCCTATCCATACATAAGGTAAACAGCTGTCTTCATTCTTTTGCTTTCCTTCCTTGCTTACGTACATCATCTACCCACCTACACCCCTACCTCCCTCCAGCCGTTCCGTCATCTTCCTCATTCAGCTGAATGTGACAATTCGACTGTACGGATAAACAGCTTATGATGGAAGAAAAAACTATTGTCAAAAGCCCAACAAATTTGAATAGGATGGACAAACACAAATACAAAAACTACTGTAGATGTTCAGTGAATGTTTCAAAATTTTGTTTTTCTACAAAAATTTTTGAAGGTCAAATGCTATTATGAGGAGGAATGAAGCATACAGGAAGGAAGAGAGAAGAGACATGGCACGGAATGTTTGCTTAAAGAAAACTATTATATTTGAAAAACAATCAGTATTCCATATATAGAGAATACTAGTCTTTGCATCTTTCATTTTTAACGAAAAATGCTGAAGGTAACATGAACATCAAAGCTTCAAACATGTACCGAAAACACAAAAATTGAAATGTCATACAGATGATGCAAACAGTAATCATCTTGTCATCTCTCTGTAAGAATGTTGTTGATGATCATAAATGAAGGAACATAGAAGTCTTGATTACATTATATTCTATGTTGTTGTTATTTGAAGATTCAATTAACTTTCACACAGAAGGTCATTCTAACCATTTAGCCCATAAATGATATTATAAATGCTTTCCGTTATCTCCAACTTCTTACAAATACAATACAAAAATCGCAGTAGGAGTTATATAGCCGTTCAATGAATCAACAAAACCTCTCAATAGATATATCCAAATAAGAACAATAGACTATCTGTTGTACCTTCATAAATGCAGTAAAGATGAGTGAAGTAGAAGGAGTATAAGGAGAAGTGTGAAGAAGGCAACGACACCGATGATCAAGGATAAGATGAATAAAAAAAAAATTAATTTCTCGGGTAACATATCATTACCGTCTATGTGTCTGAGGCTGTAATCAAGACGTGAGAAGATGAGTGAAGACATGAAGCGAATACCTTAATTCGCATATCCCCTTCTCTTGTCCTTCATCAACGAAAAACAATTAGCATTAGAGCACATCGTCTTAATACTCAACTCGATCAATTAATAGCATGCAAAATGATCTTATAGTACTCTGGATGACAGAATTGATCAAGACATAATACACAATAATTCCCAAAAAGTATAATTACCGTCCTTGCCGACTTTCAAGAAATTACTATGCCTATATACCGCGTAGTCTAAGGATTCTATACAGCCAGAGGAACACTAACAGAAAAAAAAGAGAAAGAAGTCAAAAGTAATTGGCCCTGAACAGAACGAAAATCTTTGGAACATCGACCCTGATGGACCAACCAACCAATTTATGTTCTTCCGTCGGCAAATGAAATGCTCAATGTTAGAATCATCATTGGTCAAGACAGATTTTTTCCTTCTCATCGTATTACAAGCAAAAACGTCGGAGTTATCTTTGACATCAAAATCCCAAAGAGAAACCTTTCTATTGTTGGATTTGATTGGCCATAGACACCAAAAAGAAATGATTTTGCGCATTTCATGAACGATGATCATACAGAAGGAAGCTTACTGTCACCAAGATTAAAAAAATCAAAATGATATACATCAAGAGCTTTCTGAGAAGTAAGAATCAATAAGCAGAGTAAAAAGAGAAATCTAGAATTGAAATCATTAACCGGTTGGGCCATTGGATAACTTAACCAAAGCTAGTTGAGGTAATATGGCTACTAAGGTACATCAACAACGGTTCAAATCAATGAAATATACACAAAAAAAAAGAAATAAATTGAATGAGTTACCTTCATCTGAAGTATCCCAACAGTCATCTATACCGTCTTGCCATTTTTGGATGGCAATACATTGGGCACCGGTTCGACAGGCAAATTGCTCTTTCGTGCAATTTGAGGCAAGAGTTATAGGGAATAAGGAAAATAACAATAATAATGAATATAATTTAGGAAATATACATAACAATCTCTTTCGCCTGGAAGGCGAGACATTCTTGAATCGAATCATGTAGGCAGATTGGATATGCTGCTATTCCAATGCATAACAAAGGTATAACAGTGGGTTTATCAGGCGTATGAAGAAGATTTCTTACGCCTCTCAAGATTCAAGCTATTCGAAGAAAAAAATAATCGGAACAGCTGAATTTGTTAAATTTGTTAAAATACCGCAGGCAGTAACGTATAGTACTAGATGGTATGAAGATGCGACAGGGGGCGGAGCCTCAAGGTAAGGTCTGACTGCCAGCAAGCGCACGTACAGATGAGGATGATGAGAAAAGAACAATTTCTCTGTCCTCTCTTCTGCGAGATGAATATCTTTTACATCTTATTCATCTAGTTAGCCTTATGAGCTAGCAGAGTAGAGAAGATAGAGACGGACGAAACCTCTTACTACTTCTTACCTTTATATTGTTCTCCTACCCTCCATTTTCTATTATCTATCATCTCTGAGAATGAAAGAATGAAACAAATGAATGATGCACAGAAACAAGGAGAATTAGACTATTCCTGGTACTAAGAATCTTGAGAGCCTTTGTGTAAATGAAAATTTACATCTTCAACATGCTGCTCCATGGCATTTTGGAAAGAACTATGAGGGTATGAACTTGTTGCATTCCTGATATACCCATGCCTAGAACGCATACCAGCCCAGCGGTTATTGAAAACCAAACTTGTAACATTTAGCTGAAGTGTCTGGCAACTCAAGCGAAATTAACCTGTTTGTTTTAAACCCTCACTGCTAATTGTCACATTGAACCACAAGTTATGTCAGCAAAGGTCAGCTGGATTGAGTGAATGGCGACCTCACATAGACTGCAGACGTTTGTCCACGTAAATGAGATCATTATCAGTAATCCACCATAACTCATTATAATCCCAAGACACATGATTATAGTTCTCTCTTCAACTGTAGAAAATGGTTGTGTGTGTTCGAGTTTGAAGAGAAAAAAAACCCATAGTGATGATCATCTCAATACACTTAACATTAAATGTCGC